AGACGGTGCCCCGCGTTCCCTCCTCCTCCTCCCGCTGCCCCCTCCCTCCTGCCATCATCATCATCGTCATCATCATCATCGTCATCATCAACATCACCATGATATTCGGCGTCATCATCAGCATCACCCTCCGCATGTCTCTATTTCGGCACACCAATCACACGGTTCGTGGCCCCATAGGGAGCTCCACCGAAGCCCCCAGTGGCAGGGTTCGCATGGCGACCCCGCCTCATTTTGGTGCACCCCTCACACGGTTCGTGGCCCTATAGGGAGCTCCACCGAAGGCCCCAGTGGCAGGGTTCGCATGGCGACCCCGCCCATTTTGGCGCACCCCTCACGAGGATCGTGGCGCCATAGAAGGGCAGGGTTCGCATGGCGGCCCCGTCTCACGCACCCCTCACACGGTTCGTGGCCCCATAGGGAGCTCCACCGAAGGCCCCAGTGGCAGGGTTCGCATGGCGGCCCCGCCCCATTTTGGCGCACCCCTCACACGGTTCGTGGCCCCATAGGGAGCTCCACCGAAGGCCCCAGTGGCAGGGTTCGCATGGCGGCCCCGCCCCATTTTGGCGCACCCCTCACACGGTTCGTGGCCCCATAGGGAGCTCCACTAAAGGCTTCAGTGGCAGGGTTCGCATGGCGGCCCCGCCCCATTTTGGCGCACCCCTCACACGGTTCGTGGCCCCATAGGGAGCTCCACCGAAGGCCCCAGTGGCAGGGTTCGCATGGCGGCCCCGCCCCATTTTGGCGCACCCCTCACACGGTTCGTGGCCCCATAGGGAGCTCCACCGAAGGCCCCAGTGGCAGGGTTCGCATGGCGGCCCCGCCCATTTTGGCGCACCCCTCACACGGTTCGTTGCCCCATAGGGAGCCCCACCGAAGGCCCCAGTGGCAGGGTTCGCATGGCGGCCCCGCCCATTTTGGCGCACCCCTCACACGGTTCGTGGCCCCATAGGGAGCTCCACCGAAGGCCTCAGTGGCAGGGTTCGCATGGCGGCCCCGCCTCATTTTGGCGCACCCCTCACACGGTTCGTGGCCCCATAGGGAGCTCCACCGAAGGCCCCAGTGGCAGGGTTCGCATGGCGGCCCCGCCCATTTTGGCGCACCCCTCACACGGTTCGTGGCCCCATAGGGAGCTCCACCGAAGGCCCCAGTGGCAGGGTTCGCATGGCGGCCCCGCCTCATTTTGGCGCACCCCTCACACGGTTCGTGGCCCCATAGGGAGCTCCACCGAAGGCCCCAGTGGCAGGGTTCGCATGGCGGCCCCGCCTCATTTTGGCGCACCCCTCACACGGTTCGTGGCCCCATAGGGAGCTCCACCGAAGGCCCCAGTGGCAGGGTTCGCATGGCGGCCCCGCCCCATATTGGCGCACCCCTCACACGGTTCGTGGCCCCGCAGGGACATAGAGAGCTCCACCGAAGGCCTCAGTGGCAGGGTTCGCATGGCGGCCCCGCCCCAGTGTCGCCGGCCCCGCCCCATATTGGCGCACCCCTCACACGGTTCGTGGCCAGGGACATAGAGAGCTCCACCGAAGGCCTCAGTGGCAGGGTTCGCATGGCGGCCCCGCCCCAGTGTGCGCACCCCTCACACGGTTCGTGGCCACATTGGGAATTCTTTTTGCTTCGTCCCACCTGCCCTGCGGTATTCACGTTTGCATATGGTTGGGTCCTTCGCCAGGATAATTTATACGGCCCAACAGAGCCCAAAGACGGCCGAAGAGACGCCCAAATCGGCCTCAGTTAGGTACTCCAGATTTCGTAATAAAGGGAGGGGGGTCTCATTTCGGGGAGGGTCTTTTCCAGGCTATCTTGGAGGGCCTGGGGGGGTCTGGGGACGATGTTTTGGAGGGTTCTCCCACGGGGGGGGGGTCTAAAACTTTTCGTCTGGGAGGGTTGAGACCCCCTCCCTTTTATTACGAAATCTGTGGTAGACGACTTCTCAGGAAGCCCCCAAAGACGCCCCCAGAGAGGCCCAAAACGGCCTCCCAAGACAGCCCCCGAATGCCCCAATCGCCCCAAGTCCTTAGGGAAGTTTTTTACCTAACAGCGAAGACTGATAGGTTTCTAGTAGGGTCAAAAGAGAGCATCATGACTCCACAGGGGGGTCCGGGCGGCATCCGGGGAGCTGGGTCCGAACTCGTTTTTCGCAAACAGTCACACACTTCGTGCCCTTCGACCTCCCAGAACTCCACTCCCGGGCCACATTTTGAATGCCCGGAGCCAACTGTAGGCCACTTCGTGCTCTTCGACTTCCCAGAACTCCATTCCCGGGCCACATTTTGAATGCCCGGAGCCAACTGTAGGCCACTTCGTGCTCTTCGAGTTCCCAGAACTCCATTCCCGGCCACATTTTGAATGCCGGAGCCAACTGTAGGCCACGTGAAGAGCGAATGTTCCCAGAGGCGCTGGAGGGGCTTTTGAATGCTGAGGCAGGCTGAGGCTGAGGCTGAGGCAGGCTGAGGCTGAGGCCGAGGCTGAAGGCAGACTGAGGCTGAGGCTGAAGCAGGCTGAGGCTGAGGCTGAGGCAGGCTGAGGCTGAGGCTGAGGCAGGCTGATGCTGAGGCAGGCTGAGGCTGAGGCTGAGGCTGATGCAGGCTGAGGCTGAGGCAGGCTGAGGCTGAGGCCGAGGCTGAAGGCAGACTGAGGCTGAGGCTGAAGCAGGCTGAGGCTGAGGCTGAGGCAGGCTGAGGCTGAGGCTGAGGCAGGCTGAGGCTGAGGCTGAGGCTGAGGCTGAGGCTGAGGCTGAGGCTGAGGCTGAGGCTGAGGCTGAGGCAGGCTGAGGCTGAGGCTGAGGCAGGCTGAGGCTGAGGCTGAGGCTGAGGCAGGCTGATGCTGAGGCAGGCTGAGGCTGAGGAGGCTGAGGCTGAGGCTGAGGCTGAGGCTGAGGCTGAGGCTGAAGGCAGACTGAGGCTGAGGCTGAGGCTGAGGCTGAGGCTGAGGCTGAGGCTGAGGCAGGCTGAGGCTGAGGCTGAGGCTGAGGCTGAGGCTGAGGCTGAGGCTGAGGCTGAGGCAGGCTGAGGCTGAGGCAGGCTGAGGCTGAGGCAGGCTGAGGCTGAGGCTGAGGCTGAGGCTGAGGCTGAGGCTGAGGCAGGCTGAGGCTGAGGCTGAGGCTGAGGCTGAGGCTGAGGCTGAGGCTGAGGCTGCTGAGGCTGAGGTGTGACTGTGCTGACTTTGCTGACTGCGACTGACTGCGACTTTCATCGCGACTGCGACTGCGACTGCGAGAACAGCAGAATTCTACAACTGGATTCTCATGTGAATCTTAAGGGGAATGCTTCCAGATATGCTCCTACACATCGCTGTTAGGTTGCTTTGCCGGGATAATATTTTGAGGATGTTCGCTGTTGTTGGCCTTCACGGCGTTCCTGCACGCACTATATGTGCCACACATTCCCCCAAGACGGCCTCAAAGGTCCCCATGAGAGCCCCACGGCGGCTCAAGACGGTCCCAGTACGTCCCCAGAGGCGCCCAAGAAGGCCCACGAGGATTCCAAAACAGCTCCACGAGCGGCACAGGACGGCCCAAGACGGCCCCCGAACGGCCCCGGAGGCGCCCCAGAGAGCCCCAGACGGCAAAAGACGGCCCAAGCAGCACCCCATGAGGGCCCCAATTGGGCCGAAAGAGGCCCGAAGAAGCCCCCAGGCAGCTTCCAAGCGACCCCATCGAGAGGCCCAATCAGGCCCCAAAAGAGGGCCCCGACAGGCATCGAGACCCCTCCCAGCCCGCTTCGAAATGGCTTCCAAGGGAAGAGATCCCTGGAGCGCTCCGGGACCGCGCCGGCCACCCAGGAGAGCCCGATGGGTGATCCGAGAGGAGACCCGTTGTTCGGCCGCGGGCCCCCCCCCCCCAAAAGATTCCCCCAGGACAATCTCAGAGGCACCCGTCAGAGCCCCCAGACGGCCCAGGACGGCCCAATAGGCGCCCAAGACGCCCCAAGAGGGCCCCAAGATTCGAATTGACACTTCGCGCCCTGCGCCCTAGGATCACCCGAGACCACCAGCAGGCCCCCCAGAGAAGCCCCAGGAGGCCCCCAGAGCGCCCGAATCGGGCACCAAAGAGGGCCCCGGGCCCCGAGAGGCTCCGAGACACCCCAAACGACCGCCTCGAGAAGGCTCTCGAGGGAAGCTCCTTCTGGGAGCTCTGTGGCCGCGCTGCGCCTGCCACCCAAGGGAGCCCCCATGAGAGCGAAGGAGGCCAGATGTTCGGCCGCACGCGCGCCGAGGCCACGGTGACATCCGCGTGCTGGCTGGCTTCTTCTCGTGCCCCCCTTCACGCCCCTTTTGCTCCTCGCTCCACGCGCCTCGCGCCTCGCTGGCCCCCGCTCTCTCGCCTCGCTCCCTCGCCTCCCTCGCTTCGCTTCTTGCCCCTCCGTGCTCAATCGCCCTCGCTGCTTCCACCTCTCCCCTGGTCGTCCTCGCTGCTTCCGCCTCTCCCCTGGCCCCCCGCTGCTCTCTCCTGGCTATACTGGCGCCTGCGCCCCCTCTCTTTGTTGGCTCTCCTTTTTATCCCTCCTCGCCTTTTTTTTTTGTTTCTCTCTCTCTCTCTCTGTCTCTCCTCGGCCGATGCTCCTCGCTTCTCGCGCCGTGCTCCTCGCTGAACCCTCCTCGCTTCTTCCCCCCACCTCCTCCCCCTCGACACTGACCCGCGCTCGTTCCCCTCGCTCCTCGCCCCACTCACGCGCTGCAGGTCGCGCCATCCGGCAAGTGCACCAAGAAGCAGCACTCTGCAGCCTCAAGCAGCAGCAGCGAACAGCAGCAGTCCGCAGCAGTCAACGGCAGCACAGCAAAAGCGAGCAGCACCAGCAACACGTCGCGGGCAGCAGCAGCAGCAGCAGCAGCAGCAGCAGCAGAGGCGAAGTTCGGGCCCAACGCCATCACGAAAGCCTTCGGCAACATCTCTGCCCTGCCCCAACGTGCCATCTCAGACTTGCTTCGTGGCTGGCAGGCCACGGGCCAGCCCTAGCCATCATCTCTCCTATCATGCAGCGTTCACCGCCCGCCAAATGGGCCGAGCATTGGGCCACCGGCGCGGCCCTGGGCCGCCACCGGCGCGGCCCTGGGCCGTGGACAGGCACCCTGCCATCGGCCCGGCCCCGGGGCCCCGGCGCGCTTGAAGACGGCCTAAGACGGTCTAAGAGGGCCTCCGAGACGGGCCCCGAGCGCTCGAAGACGCCCGCGATAGCCACCAGACGGCCCCAGAGGCTTCCAACATGCTCCACGTGGGCTCCAGAGAGAGCTCCCCGGAAAGCCCGAACAAGGAAACATCGTCCCAATACCGAGGGAACACGTACATTTCGGGAGTTCCCGTGCTTTTCGTCTTCGCAGCGTCCAAGGCGGCCACACAGGCCCTCAAGATCGTCCCAAGACGCTTCAGGAGGCTACCAGCAGGGCCCCAAGACGGCTCAACACTGCGTCAGGACGGCTCCTCAGGCGCCTGTGGCGGCCCCAAGCGGGGGCCAGGACAGGCTGGGAGCGCTCCCGAGGGGCCCCAGGGGCCCCGTCGCGCTTCCTTCCAGGATGGCTTCAGAGCGCTCCGAGCTGCCCCCGGAGGCCTCCAAGAGGGCCCGAAGACGGCCGAAGACGGTCCAAGAGGGCCTCCGAGACAGACCCCGAGCGCTCGATGACGCCCAAGACAGCCGCCCGACGGCCGAAGAGCCCGAACAAGGAAAAATCGTTTCCGCCCCTGGGCACAACGCACACTTCGGGAGTTCCCGTGCCGAAAGCCTCCATTGGGAGTCCGAGTGAGCGGCCCAAGAGTATTGCATGGTCGTGTCGTGCTCCTGGGCCCCCTCTTGGAGCCCTTCTGAGGCTCACCTGGGCCTCTCTGGGGCCGCTCAGTGGCCTCTTCTGGGACCCTGAAGGAGCTCCCGAGAGCGACCCAAGAGGGCCCCAAGAAGACCCCAAGAGCGGCCTAAGAGTATGGCACGGCCGCGCAGTACTCCTGGGGCCCTCCTTGGAGCCCTCCTGAGGCTCACGTGGGCCGCTCTGGGGTCGCTCACTGGCCCCTCTGAAGCCTTGAAGGAGGCTCAAAGAGGGCGCCAAAGGGGCCCCAAGAAGACCCCAAGAGCGGCCCAAGAGTATGGCGTATGGCATGGACGTGCAGTATTCCTGGGCCCCCCCTTGGAACCCTCGTGAGGCTCACGTGGGCCGCTCTGGGGCCGCTCATTAGCCCCTCTGGGACCCTGAAAGAGGCCCCAAGGGAGCCCCTGCTGCTTCTCCTCCTCCTCCTCCTCCTCCTCCTCCTCCTCCTCCTCCTCCTCCTCCTCCTCCGCCTGGTCCTCCTCCGTGTTTTCTGCTCACAGTGTCGTCGATTTTCCCCCCTCGCGCCCGTTGGCCAGGCGGGACGGGCGGAAGTGCTGCCTGGCGCCCCCCCCTTGCTCAGCGAGATGTGGGAGGCGAGCGCAAATCACTTGCCAACTCGTGGCAGCATCTCGTGAGCGAAGCCCACAGGCCAAGCACGGGTCCACCCCAGTCAGCTACAACGCTGGGATCAGCGCCTGCGAGAAGGGCAAGCAGTGGCAGCAGGCCCTGGCGCTGCTGGGTGAGCTTTGGGCGGTGAAGCTGGAGCCCACCGTCACCTTTCCACTACAGTGCCGTTTTTAATACGTGCTCCGCGTGCGGATCTAAGAATGCAGGGATTTTGTATCAAAATCATCTATGAGTTCATGCATACATTTATTCATAAACTAGTCATGTCTTAAAAATCCCACATTCTTTAAAAACAAATCCCATGTATTGAAAACTGCCCTGCACACTGCAGGGCCCCGCGCGTGCGGGAACAGCGCTGTCCAGGTGTCTCCCCCAGGGCGCGGAAGGCCCCCAGCTGCGACCTCAGAGCCCCCATACGCTCCCCAGACGCCCGCGCCCCGATGCCTGTGGCGGCCAAGAAGGTCCCAAGACGCTTCCGAGATGGTCTGAGAGGATTCCGAGACGGTCCGAAAGCGTTCCAAGACGTCCGAGACGTCCTCCATGCGACCCCCGAGGCTCTCGAGGCTTCAAGAGGGCTCCGAAAAGAGTCCCCAGACAGTCCCAAGAAGTAAACATCGTCAACTACATTTGGGGAAGCGTGCCTTGGCGCCTTGGCATTATCGTCTTTTTCGTTGTCGAAGTGTCCAACACGGCCATACCGGCCCCAAAGATCGCACGAACACGCCTCAGAAGTCCCCCCTTAAGGCCTCCGGACAGCTCAAAACGGCCCCAGGACGGCGCAAGATGCCCCCTACACGGCCCAAGACGGCCCCAGGAGAGCCCCAGGAGGGCCCCAAAAGGGGGAAGTCGACATGCCATTTCGATCCCTCCGCCCCCAGATGACCCCCCGAGACCGCCAGCAGGCCCCCGAGAGGAACCCCCAGGAGCCCTATAGGAGTCCAGCAAGAGGTCCACGTCAAGCCCCAAGAGGCCCCCACGAGGGCCCCGGGGAGGCCCCCGAGACTCCCCCAGACTACAGCCTCCGAGGGGCTTGGCATCGCTCGGACGTGTGCATTTTTCCTTCGGCGAGGACCATCGAGGAGCATCCTTGATCATTTGGCGAAAAAACCACGCACGACACCGAAAAAAACAGGAAATGGATGTCCGAGCGATGGCCAGGCAGTAGCATGCAGCGAGCAGCAGCAGCACGCGCCAGGCACAGCTGGCCATCCGCAGGGCTCCGCAGAGACGAGCAGCAGCAACAGGCAGCCCAACGGCGCGCAACCGCGGCAGTCCGCAGACGGCAGCGGCACGCGCGGAAGGCCAAGGCCGGGCCACACGTTATCATGTCCGCCTCTCGGCAGGACCGTGCAGACACAAGCAGCAACGACACGCAGCAGCGGCAAGCAAGCATTACCAACAACACGCAAGAGAGGCAACAACCAGCAGCCCGCAGCAGAACGCGCGGAATGCTAGGACGGCAGGGTCGGATTCCACGTGATCGGTTTAGCCTGTCGGCACCATGCCCAGAATCACATGCCAGTTCGTGCAGATGTCGTGGACGTTTAGTCCACGGGTCAGCCCTAGTCTCTACTACATTGCAGGGCCCAGTGCGTGCCAGAAGGGCGCAGGCCCCAATGCACCGAAACCGCCCCGGGCTGGCCCCGGGCCGCCCAGGGAGGCCCCAAGACACGCCAAGGGGGCCCCAAGAGGCCCCCAAGACGGCCCCGGAGGGCCCCGGCACGCCCAGCGAGGGGCCCAAGACGCTCGAGATTGGCCCAAGACGGCTCCAGAGGCCTCCAAGACTCCCCAAGAGGCTTCCCAAGAGGCGTCCCAAGAGGGCCCCGAGCGGCAGAAACCGTCGATTTCCATTGTGTTTTTCGATGGTTTCGGCCTCCTCGCCTTTTCGGCTTCCCGACGCTCCAAGACGGCCCAAGACGTCCCCCAGACCGCTCCAAGACGGCCGAAGAGGACCCCAAGAGAGCCCCAAGACGGGCCAAGAGGGCCCCAAGACGGCCCCAAGACGGCCCAGGACGGCCCCAGGACGGCCCAGGAGGCGCCCAAGACGGCCCAAGAGGCACCCAATACGGCCCCAGGAGCGGCCCAAGACGGCCCAACAGAGCCCTAGAGGCGCCGAAGCCGGCCTCAGACGGTCCCAAGACGGCCCAAGAGGCACCCAAGACGGCCCAAGAGGGCCCTAAGAGCTCCCCCGGGAGGCCCAAAAGAAGGCCGAAGAGGCTCCGAAACGGCCCCCACGAAGCCTTCAGTGGCTTCAGAATTCCCTCCAGGAGCGGGGGAGCGGACGAGAGGCGACAGGCATATCGCAGGCAAAAACGCCCCAAGAGATCCCCAAACGGCCCCCACGAAGCCCGAAGTGGCCTCAGAATTGCTTCCAGGAGGGGGGGAGCGGACGAGAGGCGACCGGCATATCCAAGGCACAAAAGAACAATGTTGGACGCTCCGAGGGCCTTCGATGTTTCTCTGTTGGGGAGAGTCGTCGTAGGATCGACGATTGCCGACCGGGGGCATGGAGAATCGAGCGAAAGAGGAGGAGAAGGTGGAAGAGGAGGAGGAGAAGGAGGAGGAGGAGGAGGTGCCTGGCGCTGCACTGCGAGATGTGGAAAGCCAAGCTGGAGCCCGACGCCATCATGATTGCCTTTCGGCCCTGCAGCCGCACCCCCCCGCGCTTGCCCAGAGACCCCTCGCCACGTCGAGCTGATGTCGTGGACGGAGTCCACAGGTCTGCCCTAGTCAGCTACAGCGCTGGGATCAGCGCGTGCGAGAAAGGCGAGCTCTGGCAGCGGGCTCTATCGCTGCTCAGCGGGATGTGTCAAGTGAGGTTGGAGCCGAATGTCATGAGCTACGACGCTGCGATCAGGGCGTGCGCGAAAAGCGAGCAGTGGCAGCGGGCTCTGGCGCTGCTGAAACAGATGCGGGAGGCGAAGCTACAGCCCACGGCCATCTCTACTACAACGTCACGATCTGTACGCGCGAAAAGAAGAGGGTGTCCAGAGGCAGCGAATCGGCCCGTCTGGGCCGTTCTGGCCGGGTTCTCGGAGCCGCCATCCAAGAGGCGGAACACCTTATTAGAAAAGTAAAGCATTAGCATCATCTGAGTTGTAAAGGCATTTCGTGTCCCAATTAGGGGGGGCATAGCATATATGAGTGTATACACACGTATCCATGTGTATGCATGTCGGTATAGAATCCTTTGTTTGTTCTCTATACTTTCGCTTGTTTTTGACAGTCATCTTGGAGACTGTCTATAGCATGCGTCGAACATATACCAGCGTGTGTTACCATAAGATCTAAGAGGATGAGGAGGAGGGGGGAGGGCAGGCGGCGACGTGCGAACAGCACTTTCTGATGTTGTTCCCGCGCGCCCTCACGCATCGTCAACCATCACACGCAGCCACTTGAAAACGAGTTGCTGGGCAACCAGTCGCAGGATGTGTTGTCTCTGCCGCCCCTGTAATGCATCCAGCGAGGTCTTCGTCGGCGTAGCACCAATACTACCGTGGGCCCCCTAGAACTATACATTGATCCTCTGCGAGGTGCTATCAAATACTGGGCTTGTGTGACATCCTCCACATCCTGACGCCAGCTGCCCACGATGCTCGAGCTAGCCCTGAAAACAATTGAGCACGCAGCTGGCCTAAGTGTGAAACCTCAGTCTTCACAGATTCGCTGAGAAATTGCGACTCGGAGTACAGTATGTCGTGCACGCGGCACAACAAGTGAACCACTGCAAGTATTTTGGGTTCCTCCTCTTGGCCAAATGCCAGCATCAATGCAAGCGCATATCTGGATGCTCTGCAGGCTGCCGCAATGCATGCTAGCATTGGCAAATCTACAGTACTGTTGATCCGGTCAGCGTTCAACTTACCACGAAGGCGGCGGCTTGAGGATCTGGTGAGATCGTACCAAACCTGCATGTTGCCACAGAGCTTCGAAATCTTCTGTGCGGTGTTGTTCCCACCAAAGCATGATCTGACGACTACGACCGACCACAACGCGCGTCCACTTGAATGACAAGCTTGCCTGAGTCTAGCGTGCGTATTGTGTCGATGTGGAGTGTTTCGAGCTGGAGACCAAATACACAACGAAGGAGGATGGGGATAGCGATGCCAGCAGCTTGCTGCCTCTCCAGATAGGCTTCGTGGGTCAACTCGTGTCCTGTGCCATGCAGCATCGTGGTTGTAGTTCGTCCATTGCACGCGCCTGCTAGTATGTTGTTGGCCATGCATTTCCAACACCTCGAAAGAGCAGAAGCCCGTTGGCCGATAGAAAGAAAAACACCATTCGATGTAAGATGTCCAGTCGCCCCCTCACCTGGGCCAGGATGTCCTTCCAACCTCCTGCCGGGGGTGTGCCAGGAGTGGACACGCGCCGTGCTCGCCAGTCAATCTCGGGAGTTTTGCCAGAAGCTGGTACATTATGTTCCACGGAAACACGTTGAGAAACTCGTTCAGCGTGTTGGTCAGCATGATTGATGTTGGCACCACCGTGAACAAGAACCGTTTCTGCATCGTTTTGCCGACCCCCACCAAACTGTTCCACGAGACAACGTACATGCGATCGTTGCTGCTGAAGCTGCCTCCGTCGCCGCGCATACCTGAAGGCACGCTACGTGCCCAGCCTGCCCGAGAGAGCAAAGCGTGATTCCGAATCAGAGTTCTGCCGGCAATGGAAGACTTCCACTCGCTGCAAGCCCCTCGCTCATCTGACAGTCATTGAAGTGACTATTGCAAAAAAGTGGCAAGAACACAGTGCGGGACGATCACTGTCCGTGCGCAGTGGGAATCTCGACCCAATCCATTGGGCATGCGTTTTTGGAGCCAATCCAAGTAATGTGCACAAGCCTCGAAAGATATGCTGCGGACGGGCACAGAAGACGCTGGGCCAGACTCGTGCAGCCTTGACCGAACGCCCCCACTTAAGGGCGGCTCGTGGTCATCGGCGGGCCCATCACGTACGGTGGGTTCATACGACGTTGTCGCGCCGGCGACGCTGGCGAAGGCGTTCAATATTGAAATCTGCGACGCGGAAGCATCGAGGGACGCGGTGAGGCCATTAGACCGGACGGAATTTGACCTTGAACAATCGGGGCCGCGATCGATTCAAGGTTGAACGATCGACGCGGGGTCCAAAACCTTTGCGCGTGCCGACGCCGCACGAACCTGCCGTGTGCGCAGTCTCCTCTTAATGCCGGCTGCACTGCATAGGGTTGCAGCACCCAAACAGATACAGAGCGCATCGATGCGGAATCCCGTGTGGACGTTCAGGCAAAAAAACGGCTGCAGAGAGGGGGGGCAGGGGCAGGGAGGGTCAGCGACGGTGTTGTCGAGTGTGATGGTGCTGGTATCGTCCAGGTATGGTGATGGTGATTGTGATGGTGATGGTGATGATGCTGATGATGATGATGCTGATGATGATGCTGGTGGTGATGATGATGATAAAGATGATGATGATGATGCTGGTGGTGATGATGATGATGCTGATGACAATGTATGCGGTTGCGATGGTACTAGTAGCGCTGATCGTGGCAGCGACCATTGCAGTGCCATGACCATGAACCCATTGTGATAGTTAAGCTGACAATCGCGATAGTGCCGGCTATGACGAGGATGGTTATTGCAATGGTAAGTGTGATTGTTATCCGAGGTATGATGATGCAGTTAGTTTACGATTGAGCTTGATGATGGGTTTCTTCGACCTCAAGTTTGTCGTGTCGATGAGTTGTACCTGCTCTCTGCGTGAATGCATGCTGCCTCCACCGGTGCGCGCCATTAGACCCGAATTCGGGATCAAGAAAGCTTGAACTCCGGTATGCACGTGCTCCAGTGGGCGGACAAAATATCGCAAGTTATTTGCTCGTTCCGAGAATCAGCGTGCCATTTTTGATCATATTCCATCGATCTCCGAGGAATTCCCCCCCCCCCCCCCCGTATCTCAATGTTGACTTGCATTATTCTGTCCTCCCGGATTTGGGGTGCTCGCTCGATGCCAACACTGAAATGTAGGGGGCGGGGGCGTTTCGTCGAGGTGGCGTCGCAATGTAGGTGCAGCCGTGTGCGGCCAGGAACAACTTGCAACATTTCGTCGCCCCACCGTCAGTCGTATGTGCCCCTCGACTTTGGCCACGGCCGTCTTGGTCGCGCTGATTGCAGGCACAAGTGCACTGTCTAACTACCCTTGGCCTTCCTCCTACGCTTGGCAGGCCTGCCAGCCGTCAAGCTGAAGCGAGCTGCCCAGGTTGTGATCTCCTCGTATTGCTTGGTGAGGAGCGAGTGGATCTGGCTGTCGTCGTTCGCTTCCTTCGTGGTCATGCGGTCGAGGACCTTCAAAGTTTGGATTCTCTTGGCGAGGTTCTTCTGGATGTCGGACACCCGGCCACCGCTTTATCGCGTGAAAGTCGGGTCTGTTGCGTTCTCGGACGTGTTGATGGTCTTCTTGGCCTCCAGTACGTTGTCCTGGATCGTGCGGGGATACTGCGCGGCCTTCTCCCTCAAGTTTTGACACCCTCTGCGCCAGCTTCGGCATTTCGCTGGGCTCCTCCTTTGGCTCCGTCTTGATCTGGACGTCGCCGCCTTTGGGCGCGTCGAACTTCTGGGCGAGAGGGAGTTCCCCCTGACGGGCGCCAGTGCTCTTCTTTGAGCTCGCCGAGCTCTCTGTCCATTTTCTCCTTGGACGTCAAAGTCAAGTCCTTGAAGTTCGTTTTGGCTTAGGTCTCCCCCCTAGAAGGTATTCACCTTTATGACGACCGAATAGCTGCGTCGTTGATGCACTATCTACGAAAGCCTCCAATCACTTTCCCTTTTCACTACCTCGAGAGGACCCGACCGAGGCGTTGATCTTGGGGTTGGCGTTCATGGAGTCGGACATGCTGGATGCCATGGAACTCTTGCTTTTCTCGGACTCCTGCAGGATGGACCCTGCAGCCGCCAGCTCATTTGTCGGTGACACCGAGGCGAGGTCAACTTCGGCCAGCTTGGGCGTCGTCAGCCCGAGTCCTGATCACAGGCCGTTACAGCGCCTGGGCGGGGCTTAAGACGGGCCATGAGCCACAGTTTCGATACGATCAGTGGCGTTAGATCTATGTATATCCGGTCCGGAGGGCGCTGGGCGAAGAAAGGACCCCAAACTGTCCGCGGGGCATGTGACAAGCATGGCTTGCTTCACCACGAAATGCGTTGTCCATGCGGCGAATAGATTGGAGAGAGCACCGACTTGCGCGGCGTGTGCAGAATAGTGTCCTCATCAGGAGCACATCGCCCGTCAGCAATAGTCGTAGGCTTTCCTGCAAAAGGCAGAAGTCGTGTGCGCTGACTAGATAGGTGTCGGGCTCATGGCGCGCGATTGGGAAGCGCACCGCTGTTGGCACCTGTGCCGCTGGGTGCCCTCGTGGCGCCCCAGGAAAACAGGCGGGTTGGCAGCCCGATCGTCACCACAGCTCGACGGGGCTATGGGAGAGACTCTTGCCCTGTGGTTGGCCAGCCACAGTAGGTGCGGGCCCGCCGTACCACCCCTGAGAGGCCCGATGGGGTTACTCGAAGGGGTCCCCCGACGTGGGGGGCGCGGGAACTTAAGTCTTTGGGCAACGGGGCCTCCGCTGCTTGAGGCCAGCGGCCAAGTGGGGGTGGTGCCGGTGGCCGTGTCTCGGGGTGGCATCTCGAGGCACCTCGCAACGGCGGCGCGGATAACGCCGGGGGCGGTCCGTGCCGCCGTTCGTGTTGCGAGGTCCGACTGCAGGTGAATTCATGCAGGCACCTTGGGCACCTCCCTTCGGGTTGTGTCGCCCAGATGTTATGTCCGGGCACAAAAAAAAGGGAAGCGCACCACTGTTCGTGCACGCGCGCAAGGAAGCTGGCGAGGTCCGCATTTGCGGAGAAGGGCCACTTTGCGCGCGCGAACAAAGACTAGGGGGCCACATGCGAACCCTACCCCTACCCCCCACGCTTTCTGAGGGGGAGGGTGGGGTTCACTTCGCTCGGGAGCTCCTGGACGAAGTGAACCCCGCCCTCCCCCCCAGAAATCGTGGGGGGTAGGGGTAGGTTTCGCATGTGGCCGCCTAAAGACGGCAAGCTGAAGAGCAGGGCGTGCGCGCGATCCGCGGAGTCTTTGTTGCAGAAGGTCCAAGGTCGCGGTCGGCAGCCGCTGACGGGGAACGCGTGCGTGAAGAGTAGAAGGACGAGGATCATGGGGATGAGGGTGATGGACGATGATGTCGAAAGGAGAAGGATGATGAGGAGGAAAAGGAGGAGGAAGAGGAAGAGGATGATGAGGAGATGAAGAAGGAGGATGAGGTGGAGGTGGAGGAGGAGGAGGAGGAGGAGGAGGAGGAGGAGGAGGAGCAGTGGGAGGAGGAGGAGGAGGAGAAGGAGGAGGAGGAAGAAGAGGAGGAGGAAGAGGAGGAGGAGGGGGAGGAGAAGAACCAGGAGGAGCAGGAGGAGAATGAGAAGATGTTCTGGGGGCCTGCCGGGTTGCTCTTGAGACCTCCTGGCTGTAATTTTGGAGGCATTCGGGGCTGTCTTGGAGGCCTCGGAGGGGACGTCTTGGGCCATCGCAGACCAATCCCATGTTTTTTAAGGCGCGTCGTGCCGACAGACAGTCGGAGGTCAGAGTAGGCCTCTCTTCTGGGGGCCGACTTGGGCCATCCTGAGGTCATCTGAGCATCTCTCGGACGCATCTTGAACTATCATAGAACGATGCGGAGCCCAGCTGGGGCCTCTTCTGGGGGCCATGTTGACCGTCTTGGTGGCCTTCTCCGGCGTCTTGGAGGCAACTTAGATTGGAGTTGGGCCTGCCGGGGGGCCGTCGTGGAGGCCTCTGGGTCTCCCTGCGCGTCATCTTGGAGGCACTCTGGAGCGACCAGGGGGCCTCTGGGGCCATCAGAAAGCAGAAACGGAGGAACACGAACAATTGTCAAAAGTTGAAGGACAATTTCTCGTTTTGCGCATTTCCGGCATGAGCAAGGCCGCCTTGGAATCCTTTGGGGGGGTCCTTGGGCCATCTTTTCTCGGATGCATCTTGGGCCGTGATTGAGCGATTTGGAGGCCATCTTGGGCCTCTTCTGGGGGCCATGTTGGCCGTCTTGGTGGCCCTCTTCGGTAGGCTGGCGTTGGGCCCTTTTGGGGCCGTGTTGGAGGCCTCCTGGGCGCCGTCTTGGAGGCTTCTTGGACCGACCAGAGGGCCCCTGGGGCCGCCAGGAAGCAGAAACAGAGGAAGACGGAAAGGTGTCGAAAACCAGAGGAAATCGTAAACGGTGCGCATTCTTCGCGGCCTGAGCAACGTCCTCCAGGAGGCAGCCGGGTCCGTCTTGGAAGCCTGTGGGTTTTTGTTTGGGCCGGTTGGGCCATCTTGTGGCCATCTGAGCTTGTCTTGTGCGCATCTGTGGCCGTCATTCAGCGATTTGGAGCCTATCTGAGGCCTCTTTGCGGCCAGGGGCCAGGCGAGTTCACCGGGCGGCCGTCTGCGGTCGGAGGGGGGTCGAATTCCCCGTTTGGGGTCCTTGGGGGGGTATGAGGGGGGAGAATCTCTAGGGGAACAAAAAGTGACATAAACATAAAAACTCAGAGGTCCGCGCGGATTTCTCGGATCGGCGCTGGGGCCCCCTGGCGACGCCTCCGGCGCCGCCCCTGGCGCGCGGAGCGCGCCAGGGAGGGGGGTCCAGCGCCGATCCGAGAAATCCGCGCGGACCTCCGAGTTTTTATGTTTATGCTATTGTTTGTTCCTCTAATCTCGCACGCCACTGTTGCTGCTGATCACTGATGACAACATACGGGTGAGACTAGATGTGCAGTTGAAGCAAACGTGATAAGCGCACTCGCCAAAATGGCGGGCGCCCTGGTCAGTGTATTGCAGACGTTCGCGCCAGAGACACACATGCACCGACGAAGCCAAGAATGTACACGCCAACGCTCAAACAGTGGGGCTAATGCCAGGCGTGAAGAATCCGACGCCATCATGTCGGGGGTCCGTTGCCAAGCGTGTGAGCACCCCAACGTTTGAATGAATTAGTTGTCCAGTTGTGTGTGTTCGCCCTCTGTTTTTTCTACAATGCCTTCTTTCTTGCCGCTCTTCTCTTCGGGAAGGTTGAAAACCACACTGGGCGCTTTCTGAAGGAGCGTGCTGATCTTGTCGTTCTTATCTTCAGGAAGGTTGAGAGCCAGACAGGGCGCTTTCTGAGCGAGCGTGCGGATCCCTCAGCCGATGGTGGCGCCTGTTGGGGCCTTGTGTCACCCGGCGGATGTCCATCGCTGGGCAGGCTGCTGGAGCTGCTCTGTGGTGTTCTTGGTCGGGCGGCCCCGCTCCCACGAGTTCGCTTCGGGCCGCCACGGTGGCCTCAGAAGCGGCCCCTGGCCCGCTCCCGCCGGGCCCTCGGGATCCGCCGTGGCGGCCTCCAGAGCGACCCCGGAGGGTCCAAGACGGCCCTGGGCGACCCAATCCTTACCAGTTTGAAACATATCCCTATCCCTATGTTTGAAATCATCTCACCTCGATGCCGATCTTAAGGATTCCCTCAGTTTCTGAGGGCCTATCCCTAAGATTGTCCTCGCTTTTTGCTCGCCCATCTTAGGGATAGGGATACGTTCGTGGCTGGTTACCCTGGCCCGATCCCGCTGGGCCCTCGGATCCGCCGCGGTGGCCTCCAGAGCGGCCCCAGAGGGTCCCAGCTGGCCCTGGGCGGCCCAATCCCGCTCTGAGACCGTCCAAGATGGTTCCAGCGCTGACCAAGAGGCTTTCTGACGCCCTCTCAGCACCAAAAGGAGCCGCAGGACGGCCCCCAGATGCAAATGTCATCGATTTCTGGTCGCTTGGTTTGGCAATGATTGTCGCGTTCCCGCCTTCTCAGCTCCCAGATCGCCCCAAGAGGCTCCCAAGATTGACAACAGGCGGCCCAGGAGAGCCCGACAGACCTGAAGATGGTTCCAAGATGGCCCCAGGGGGCCCCAATAGGGCGCCCAGGTAGTCACAGGGAAAGCCAGGAGAGACCCGAGAGAGCTCCAGTAGGGGCCCACGACGGCCCTCGAAGCTGCCACTTTGAAGGCTGCTCAAAGTGACGGATCAGAGAGCCCTTTTTGGGCCTCCGGGGGCCTGGTTCTTCTTCTACGAGGAACCGCACCACTGGTACGCACTTGTCTATCCTACAATACCGGGAGCAGCGCGTGGAAGGTGCAAATCGTGGCAAAGCCCGAGGGGTGCCTCCTGGAGGGCCCGCCAGGAGGGCCTGCGCCTTCCAGACGGCCGAAGCGAGTCCAAGAGGCCTCCAAGTTCGCCGAAGATGCCTCCAATAGGGCCGATGATGGCCTCAAGATGGCCCAAGATGGCGTCCAGACGGCCTCGTTCAAGATGGCCAAAGACGGCTTCGGGAGGGCCGAAAAGCTTTTCCCAAAGTCCCCCAGACCGCTCCAAGATCACTCCCAGCAGGGCCTCCCAGTGTAACAAACTGACGGTTGCTGCAGGTTGTTTCAACATTCTCAGCATACACGACTCTGGCCCGATCGCCTCAAGCCGGCCCAATGGGGGCCCCCAAGAGCGTCCCAAGGCGGCTCGAGAGGGCCTCGAGACGGCCCACGATGACTCAAGAGAGCCCCAAGACGGCCCAAGAGGCGCCCAAGACGACCCCAAGATGGCCCAGAGAGGGCCCACTATAGGGCTCCAGGTGCAGCCCAAGACGGCCCCGGAGAGCCCGAAGAGGCCCCCCCAATAGATGCTACAGCGCACCCCGCTGTTGCAGCATCCGTCGGCTGCCTTCTGACGGCCCTCTCGGGGCCGGCCTCGGGCCGCCGGGCTCCTCGGCTACAGCCCAAAACCCCCATAAGGACGCGCGACGTTGCTCAGGGTACCCTTGCCTCCTTGCTCGTCCTTGCTCTTGCGTCCTTGGGGTTTTCGTCGTCCGCCGCCCAAAAAATCCCAACTTCGGCTTCCAAGGGTCTTGCGTCCCTACCGCGCGTCCTTATTAGGGTTTTTGACTGTACATCATCTGCGACATCTGTCATCCAGTAGGCCATCGGCGCCTGTCGGCCCCGCCGCGTTCCCCTGCCAGGGCACCTGCGGATTTTGCCTCACGGGTGCATTGGTCATCTCTACTACATTGCAGGGGCACGTGCGTGCGGGAAGGGCGCAGGCTCAAATGTCTCAAAACCGCCCCGGGCTGGCCCCGGGCCGCCCCGGGCCGCCCAGGCAGGCCCCAGGACATGTCGAGAGGGCCCCCAGAAGCCCCCAAGACGGCCCCGGAGAGCCCCGGCACGCTTAAAGATGGGCCCAAGACGCCCGAGATTCGCCCCAGGCGGCCCAAGAGGCGTCCAAGACGCCCGAAGAGGCCTCCCAAGAGGCCTCCCAAGAGGGCCCCGAGCGACAGAAATCGTCGATTTCTATTGTGTTTTTCTATGTTTTCGGCCTCCTCGCCTCGTCGGCTTCCCGACGCTCTAAGACGGCCCAAGAAGCCCCCCCGACCGCTCCAAGACGGCCGAAGAGGACCCCAAGAGAGCCCCACGACGGGCCAGGAGGGCCCCCAGACGGTCCCAAGACGCCCCAGGACGGCCCCGGACGGCCCAGGAGGCGCCCCAGACGGCCCAAGAGGCACCCAAGACGGCCCCAAGACGGCGGGTCCAGACAGCCCAAGAGGCGCCGAGGCGGGTCTCAGACGGCCCCAAGACGGCCCAAGAGGCACCCAAGACGGCCCGAGAGGGCCCTAAGAGCCCCCCCGGGAGGCCCAAACGAAGGCCGAAGAGGCTCCGAAACGGCCCCCACGAAGCCTTCAGTGCCTTCAGAATTCCCTCCAGGAGCGGGGGAGCGGACGAGAGGCGACAGGCATATCGCAGGCAAAAACGCCCCAAGAGATCCCCAAACGGCCCCCACGAAGCCCTAAGTGGCCTCAGAATTGCTTCCAGGAGGGGGGGAGCGGACGAGAGGCGACCGGCATATCGAAGGCACAAAAGAACAATGTTGGACGCTCCGAGGGCCTTCGATGCTTCTCCGTTGGGGAGAGTCGTCGTAGGATCGACGATTGCCGACCGAGGGCAGCGAATCCAGTGGAGGCCCAAGAGGCCCCCAGGAGCCCAAAAGAGATCCCCAAGAGGTGCCACGGGGCTTAAAAACTGCTTCGAAGCGAGGGGGGCGGACGAGGGGACCGCCTCAGGAGGTTTTGGACGGTTTTGGGCCTCAAAATCGTCCGCTTTACGACGGTTTTGGAAGGATTTTGGCCTTCTCGCCTTTTCCGCTTTCCGACGCTCGAAGACGGCCCAAGAGGCCTCCAAGAGCGCCCCAGAACGGCCCAAGAGGTTTCCAAGAGCGCCCCAAGACAGCCCAAGAGGGCCCCAAGACGACCCAAGAGACGCTCAAGACGGCCCACGAGGGCCCGAAGACAGGCCCAAGAGGGGGCCAAGAGGGGGACCACGGACCGAAAATCCGAGCCTTCCGCCCCAAGAGGGCGCCAGGAGGCCCAAACAGGCCCCCAAGAGGCCCCAAGGGGCCGCCAAGAATCCCCCGAAGAGGCCCCAGGAGGCTCCCAAGGAGCCCAAACGAGGCCCCTACAGAGGCCCCAACAGCTTCCAAAATGGCCCCGAAGAGGCCTCGAGCCCGCCTCCGAGCTTCCTCGCCGCGAGGGTGCCAACACGGCCCCAGACCGGCCCAGGACGGCCCAAGGCGCGCTCAAGACGGCCCAAGACGATTCCAAGACGGTCCCAGGAGGGTGCGCCCAGGACGGCCCAAGGACGCGCCCGTTCGGGGCCTCAAGACGGGCCAAGATGGCAAGAGAGTCCCAGCTGGCAAAAATCGTTAATTTTCCATTGTTTACTGTTACACCCTTTGCGTTTCCCGCCGTTTCGGCGGTCCGATGCACCAAGAGGCCCCAGAAAGTCCCAGGAGGGTCCGAGGAACCGCCCAGGAAGGCCCCAAGACGGGCCAAGACGGACCCAGCACAACCCAAGGCGCGCTGCGACGGCTCAAGACGGCTCCAAGACAGCCCCAAGAGGGTGCCAACACGGCCCCTGCTGGGCCCAGGACGGCCCAAGGAGGCGCACAGGAGGGGCCCAAGACGACTCCAAGGCGGCCTCCTCACGGTCCCAGACGGCTCCAAGACAGCCCCACGAGGACCCCGATGGGCCCAGGACGGCCTACGGACGCGCCCATGAGGGGCCCACGACGAACCAAGACGGCCCCATCAGGGCAAACGGCGCCCTCAAGACGGGCCTAGACGGCTCCAAGACGGCCCTTTGAGGGAGCCAACGCGGCCCCACACCCTTCGGGCGCACACTTGGGGGGGCTGGGAGCTTGCGACAAGTCTCCCACATTCATTGTCCTGCCCCATTCTGTTCGCCTGGAGGCCTCCTCCAACCCTGTGGGCGAACAAGAGGAATCCCAGCGGGACGCCAACCCTGGGGCCCGTGGGCCCCGCGCCGCTTGGGCAGAAGACGAACGCCGGGTCTGACAGGCCAGCTACCGCCCCCCTTTGCCCGATATGCTGTGCCATTCTGTTCCCCCAGGGGCCTTGGCAAACTCTTCGGGCCAAGCAGACCGGACCCCTGGGACAGCAGCCAATTGATATGACCCTGGGACCTCTCCGCATTCTTCGGACGAGCATCTGGGGGGCCCAGGAGATTCGGACATGTCTTCCCCATTCCTTGCCCTGTCCCGTTCTGTTCGCCCGAAGGCCTCCACAGACCCTCTGGGCGAACAGAATGGGACATGGCGAACAAACCCTCCCGTTGGCGGTGATGCGACTGGATCGCACCATCAAGGCGCGCCCGGAGGTGATGGCCGACCCAACAGCGGTTTCTCTTAAGAGTTCACTGGATTTCAAATTTTCTTGAAGCTCTCTTGGGCCCTCCCTGTAGATCCTTGCGAGCCTCCCCGGCGCTTTCGGTGGCTTTCCCCGATGGCCTCCCGAGCCCTTCCCCGAGCGCTCCTGAGACGCCTCAGATGGGCTTCGACTTCGACGCACATCCCCGAGAGACTTCGAAACTGTCCTCAATAGGAGGGGGGTGAACGAGCAGTGCGCTGGGCCAAGCTGCTGCAGCGCTGCAAGAGCTCGGACACGAAGGCGCGGTCTCGCTGCCGCCGCCCGAGCCGCCGCCGTGTTTGTAGATTTTCGGTACAATCTGCGCCGTTCCTCCGAGAACCATTCCAGAAAGATGTCGTGGACGGAGTCCACGAGTCAGCCCTAGTCAGCTACAACGCTGGGATCAGCGCCTGCGAGAAGGGCGAGCAGTGGCGGCGGGCTCTGGCGCTGCTGAGCGAGCTTTGCGCGTCTAAGTTGGAACCCACCGTCATCAGTTACAGCGCTGGGATTAGCGCGTGCGAGAAGGGCGCGCAGTGGCAGCGGGCGTTGGCGCTGCTCAGCGATATGTGGATGGCGAAGCTGGAGCCCGACGCCACCTAGGTTACAGTACCGGGCTCGGCGTGCGCCAGAGGGGGCGCTGCCTCCGCCCGCTGGGCCCGCGGTGGCGGCGCCTCCGATTAGCCACCTGCCCCGAGAGGGCCCCGCGATTGGGCCAAAAAGCCCCCCCGGAGCGCCCTGCTGCAGCGCAAGAGGGCTCCCAGGCAGCCCTGGGAGGCCCCCACCATGCTCCACGAGGCTCCCAGGTGGCGTCCGAGAGAGCCGCGGGACCGAGCAACGCGGTGTTTCTTCTGACTTTGCCCGCTTTCCTCTTGCGATCGCGCCTCCGGCCACGAGACGCCCCACCCGCCCCGAGCAGCCTCCCGACGTTTGCGGAGGGCGCCCCCGGGGAGTTCCGAGGAGAGCCCTTTGAGACGGCCCCAGGGACCCTCCGGTCGGCCGCGGGGACACCCCCACGATGGCCGAGGAGCCCCCCCCCAGGACGGCCCCGGGGGAGGCACAGCGGGGCCCACATCTGGAGCCCCGCCCGCGCCCCCCCCCCACTGCCAGCAGCAGGCCCCCCCGAGAAGCCCCCCAGGGGGTTCCCAGGCGGCCCAGAGGCTCGCGGAGAGCCTCCAGCAGCTCCCTGGAAACGGCTCTGGCATGCTCCTAGACGGCCCCAGTTCATGGAACGCACTTCAACGCGGGCTCACGATTACTCTTGTCACGTATCGTTGAGGAGCCCTGTCTATGAGCATCTGGGTGAGAGAGCGAGTCCGCCTCCCCATGGGGCCCACAGCTCATGTTGCTAATCCGAGGGGGCCATTCGATTCCTGTAACTGTCGTCACTTCTGGCTTCTTCATGCTTGAACATGGAGGAAGCCTAAGGCGGGAGCGTCGTCTGTGAAGGAGTTGCGAGGAAGTCTCGGGTGGAAGCCCCCTTCCAATGGGGCCCGGAGCTTATGTAAGTAATCCGAGCGGGTCATCGGAATCTTGTAATTGTCATCGTTGTTGGCCTCTTCAAGCTTGAGTATTGAGGAAGTCTCAGGCGGGAGCGTCGTCTGTGAGTGAATTGCGAGGAAGTCTCAGGCGGGAGCCCCCTCCCTATGGGGCCACAGCTCATGTCGCTAATCCAAGCGTGTCATCGGAATCATCCACCAGGCATGCCACTTGAGCACCCCAACGCAACGAATCGTGAGGATGTCTCGAGCGGGGGCCTCGCTTTTCAGTGAAACGCGAGGACGTCTCAGGCGGTACCCCCCTCCTTATGGGGCCCGCACTTCATGATCGAACCCGAGCGGGTCATCGGAATCATTTACCAGGCGTAGCATTTGAACACCCACGGGGGCTAATCGTGAGGATGTCTCGAGCGGGGGCCTCGTTTGTGAATGACTTGTGAGGAAGTCTCAGTCGGCAGTCCCCTCCCTATGCGGCTTCACTTCATGTTCGAATCCGAGCGGAATCATTTTCCGGGCATAGCACTTGAGCACCCCACGGGAGCAATTCGTGAGGATGTCTCGAACGGGGGCCTCGTTTGTGAGTGAATCGGGAGGAATCTCCAGCGGAAGCCCCCTCCTTATAGGGCCCGCACTTCACGTTGGCAATCCGAGCGGGTCATCGGGAACGTCTACCGGCCATCGGTGAACGAGCCCTGTCTGGCCGTGGCGGCGAAGGCGCCGAGGAAAATCGACACGCGTGCCCCGGCCAGAAAGAAGGAAAGGGGAATGAGGAGAACAGGCGGAATGGAAATGAGGAGTGGGAGAAAAGGAAGAGGCGGAGGACGAGGCGGAGGAGGAGAAGGAGGAGGAGGAAGAAAAGCACGAAGGGGAGGAGGAGGAGGAGAAGACATGGAACGAGGAGGACGATAAGGTGGGGACGGAGGACGAGGAGGAGGAGGAGGAGGAGGAGGAGGAGGAGGAGGAGGAGGAGGAGGAGGGGGAGGCGCGACAGAGGGCGGGAGGAGGGCCTCCGCCAGGGCGAAGAGGAAAAAGCGAGGCACGAGCTAAATCTACTGTATTCTCGTGTGGGGCCCTCCCGTCGAAGAAATTAGTTGTTGTTTGTCTTCGTAGCGTTCCGGCGGGCCCTGAAGGCTTGCCGAATTCCCCCAAGACAGCCGCAGAGGCACCCGCGAGAGCCCCAAGACGGCCCGAGCGGCGCCCAAGACGGCCCAGGAGGGCCCCAAGAAGTCCCCAGAGACGGAGAACTCGAAGTGGCATGTTGTGCTCTCCGCTCCAGGATGACCCCCCAAACCGCCAGCAGCAGGTCCCCAAGAGGGGAAACTCGAAGCGACATTTTGCGCCCTCTGCCCCAGGATGATCCCAGAGACCGCCAGCAGGCCCACGAGAGGCCCCCCCAGAAGTCCAAATCAGGCCCCAAGGGGGCCCCGAAAGGCCCCAAGACACCCCAACACCCGCCTCGAAGAGGCTTCCGAGGGAAGTCCACCGGGGAGCTCTGTGACCGCGCCGACCACCCAAGAGAGCCTCATGAGCGAAGGAGGCCAAATGCTCGGCCACGCGCGCCGAGGCCACGGAGACATGCGTGTGCTGGCTTCTTCTCATGCCTCTGTTCTCGCTCCTCGCTCCACGCGCATCGCTCCTCCCCAATCTCTCCTCGCGCATCACCTCCCTCGCCTCGCTTCCTGCTCTCGCTCCTCCCTCGCCTCGCTTCGCCTCCTCGCTCCACCTCGCTCTTTCCACCTCGCTTCTCCCTCCTCGCTGCTGGCGCTTGCCTCCCCTCTCCTCGTCGGCTCTCCGCCTCGCCTCCCTCTTTCTCATTTGTTCCCAACCATCCTGTGGTGGTGGGCCCTCGTTTTGAAGAGACGGTCTCCGCGTTCTCCTTCCTCCTCCCCTCTCACCCTCCCCACTCCTCCTTCCTCCCTGCGTTTCACCCACCCAGTACAGCGTTTCGAGGCCCCACAGGGAGCTCCACCGAAGGCCCCAGTGCTACCGTCCACATGCGTCCCCCCCACACCCATGTCAGCACACCCCTCACACGTTTCGCGGCCCCGTCGGGAGCGCCACCGAAGGCCCGAGTACCGCCGTCCACATGCGCCCCCCCCCCCCACACCCACTTCGGCACACCCCTCACACATTTTGTGGCCCCCATAGGGAGCTCCACCGAAGGCCCTCGCGCCACCGTCCACATGTGCCTCCAGCACCTTTTTCGGCACACCTCTCACACGTTTCGTGGCCCCATAGGGAGCTCCACCCAAGACCGCCGCTCCACCGTCCACATGCGCCTCCCACACCCATTCCGGCACACCCCTCACACATTTTGTGGCCTCATCGGGAGCTCCACCGAAGGCCCCAGCGCCACCGTCCACATGCGTCCTCCACACCCATTTCGGCAGACCCCTCACACATTTTGCGGCCCCCATAGGGAGCTCCACCGAAGGCCCTCGCGCCACCGTCCACATGCGCCCCCCACAGCCATGTCGGCACACCTCTCACACATTTTGTGGCCCCCATGGGGAGCTCCACCGAAGGCCCTCGCGCCACCGTCCACATGCGCCCCCCACAGCCGCGTCGGCACACCTCTCACACGTTTCGTGGCCCCATCGGGAGCTCCACCGAAGGCCCCAGTGCCACATGCTTCGTGGCTCCATAGGGAGCTCCACCGAAGGCTCCAGTGCCACCGTCCACATGCGTCGCCCACACCCATGTCGGCACACCCCTCTCACGCTTCGTGGCCCCATAGGGAGCTCCACCGAAGGCCCGAGTGCCACCGTCTACATGCGTCCCCTACACCCATGTCGGCACACCCCTCTCACGTTCCGTGGCCCCATATTGAGCTCAACCGAAGGCCCGAGTGCCACCGTCCACATGCGTCCCCCACACCCATTCCGGCACACCCCTCATACATTTTGTGGCCCCATAGGGAGCTCCATCGAAGGCCCCAGTGCAACTGTCCACACGCGTCCCCCGCACCTATTTCGGCACGCCCCTCACATGTTTCGTGGCCCCATCGGGAGCTCCACCGAAGGCCCCAGCGCCACCGTCCACATGCGTCCCCAAACCCATTTCGGCACACCTCTCACACGTTTCGTGGCCCCATAGGGAGCTCCACCGAAGGCTCCAGTGCCACCGTCCACATGCGTCCCACCCACATCCATGTCAGCACACCCCTCACACGTTTCGCGGCCCCATCGGGAGCGCCACCGAAGGCGCCAGTGACACCGCCCGCATGCGTCCCCCACACCCATTTCGGCACACCCCTCACACATTTTGTGGCCCCCATAGGGAGCTCCACCGAAGGCCCGAGTGCCAACGTCCACATGCGTCACCCACGCACATTTCGGCACACCCCTCACACGATTCGTGGCCCCATAGGAAGCTCCACCGAAGGCGCCAGTGGCTGCGTTCGCATGCGCCCACCGCACCAACTTCGTCACACCCCTCACACGTTTCGCGGCCCTATAGGGAGCTCCACCGACTGCCCCAGTGGCTGCGTTCGCATGCGCCCACCGCACCTTTTTCGGCACACCTCTCACGCGCTTCGTGGCCCCATAGGGAGCTCCGCCGAAGGCCCTAGTGCCACCGCCCGCATGCGTCACCCACACCAATGTCGGCACACCTCTCACACGTTTCGTGGCCCCATGGGAGCTCCACCGAAGGCCCTAGTGTCACCGCCCGCCTGCGTTCCCCACACCCTTTTCGGCACACCCCTCACATGTTTCGTGGCCCTATAGGGAACTCCACTGAAGGCACCAGTGCCACCGTCCACATACGTCCCCCACACCCATGTCAGCACACCCCTCACACGTTTCGTGGCCCCTATTCGGAGATCCACCGAAGGCCCCAGTGCCACCGCCCGCATGCGTCACCCACGCCCATTCCGGCACACCCCTCACATGTTTCGTGGCATCATCGGGAGTTCCACCGAAGGAGCCAGTACCACCGCCCGCATGCGTCACCCCCACACCCATGTCAGCACACCCCTCACACTTTTTGTAGCCTCATAGGGACCCCGGTGCCATTGCCCGCACGCGTCACCCACGCACATTTCGGCACACCCTTCACGCGCTTCGTGGCCCCATAGGGAGCTCCACCGAAGGCGCCAGTGGCTGCGTTCGCATGCGCCCACCGCACACATGTCGGCACACCCCTCACACGTTTCGCGGCCCTATAGGGAGCTCCACCGACGGCCCCAGTGGCTGCGTTCGCATGCGCCCACCGCACCTTTTTCGACACACCTCTCACGCGCTTCGTGGTCCCATAGGGAATTCCACCGACGGCCCAAGTGGCTGCTTTCGCATGCGCCCACCGGACAAATTTCGGCACAGCTCCTCCGAATGCGGTGCATACAACGACTGTGCTCACAATTGCACATGGCAGGGTCCTTCGCCAGGCTATGTTTTTGTTGTTCTCTCTCTCTCTCTCGTTTCTCTCTTTCAATGTTTGTGTTGTTCTCTCTCTCTCTCTCTCTTTGGCCGTCGCTCCTCCCTCTGGCTCCGTGCTCCTTGCTGATCGCTCCTTGCTTTCCCCACCTCCCCCTCGAACTCCTCGCTCCTTATTCCTGTCTCCTCGCTCCGCTCACGAACTGCAGGTTGCGTCATTTGGAAAGGGTACCAAGAAGCAACACTCCGCAGCCTCAACCAGCAACAGCGAACAACGGCAATCCGCAGCAGGTAACAGCAGCACAGCAAGACTATGCGACAACACCCTGCAGCTGCAGGCAGCAACATCAGAGGGGAAGTCCTGGCCCGACGCCATCCTGGTCCTGCCCTGGTCCAATGTACAATCGCGGACTCGTTCCGTGGCCACAGTTGGCCACGGGTCAGGCCTGGTCATCTACAACGCTGGGATCAGCGCGTGCGAGAAGAGCGAGCAATGGCAGCGGGCGCTTTCTCTGCTCAGAGAGATGCGGAAGGCGAAGCTGGAGCCCGACGACATCTACACATTTTAGGGCGGGGAGCACCGCGTGCAGGAAAGGTGGGTGCTCAAGTGCATTTAAGTCGGCCCGGCCTTCCAAGTCGACCCACGAGGGCCCCAAGAGAGCTCCAAGACGTTCCAAGACAGGCGTTAGCCCGCCCAAGTGGCCTCCAAGACGGCCCCAGAGAGCTGGACCATAGCTCCAGAACGCCCAAGGGGGCGCAAGATGGCCAAGAGGTTCTAAACACGCCCCTAGACGCCTCTAAGAGCACCCCTGAGAGCGCATTCATGAGCAAAAAAAAATCCTCTGATGGTAAGATCCCTAGACGAACATCTGTTTAGCTTGGCTTTGCATCTCCTCCTGATCCCTAAGCCGAACTCCTTTACCTCTTGCCTCAAGCTTTTCCTCTTGCCTCCTGCTTGCGCCTCCTGCCTCATACTGTTTCCTCCTTCTGCCTCCCGCCTCCCCTGTGCCTCCACCTGCTTCCTCCTCCTCCTGCCTCCTCGTCCTTCTGCCTCCTCCTCCTCCTCCTCCTACCTCCGCCTCCCCTATGTCTCCTCCTCCTGCCTCCTCCTTCTCCTCCTCCTACCTCCTCCTCCTGCCTGCTCCTCCTCCTCCTCCTCCTCCCTCCCCTCCTCCTCCTCCTCCTCCTCCTCCTCCTCCTTCCTCCTTCCTCCTCCCTCCTTATCCTCCTCCTCTTCCCATCGACGTTGGGACTCCTTCCTCCTCCTCCTGCGTCTTCATCCTGCCCCCTCCTCCTACCTCCTCCTACCTCCTCCTGCCTCCTCGTCCTCCTGCCTCCCCCCGCGTCCTCCTGCTGCCTCCTCCTCCTCTTCCTGCCTTCCCCTTCTCCCTTGCGGACCCCCCTCTGGTCTTCAGCTGCCTCGGGAATGGACCTGCCCGCTCGTGGCGCTGCTTCCGGTCTCGGGTCCTCCGCGTGGCAGGTCGGGCGTCGGCCTTGGCCGCGGATCTGTCCGGTTGCGTTGGGAGCAGGCGCTCGTCGTCCTCCGTCCCCCGGGGCCCCAGTCCGCACTGCGCGCTGCCTCGTGCGGCGGCCGCACTTCCCGGAGGCCCCGCTCGACCTCCTGGGTGGCCTCGGGGCGGTGATCGCCTTGCCTGTTCCCCGCCCCCCGCCCGCGCTGGGCCCCGCTCTGGCGCCCGGCACCCAGCGGCCCGGCGTGGCTCGATCCCTGTGGCCCCGCAGTGTGACTGCGTCGCTGCCGCTCCACTGACCTCTCGGCCCGCCCGCCTCCGTCCTCGGGGTCGGGCTCTCCGGCCGCCTCCCCCGCTCTCCCTCTCCGCCTCGCTGGCCTTCCCTGGCCTCCTTCAGGAGGGGCAGAAGCACAAAGACACAATGAATCGTGGATTCCCCAGAACATATGGGAAACTATGGGAAGTGGGGGGGAAGACAAAAACCTAGAAAATATGGGAAACTATGGGGAATCTTATTATTTGTGTGTATTCATTCGTGTGTCCCAGGGCCCCGTCACTCCTGGCCTTTCGATCAGGCCCAGCTGCCGGCCGCCCCTCCCGCTGGTCCCGCTGCTGCGGGCCGCGCCCTGTCCGCCCAGGCTTTGGCGCGGCGCCCCGCTCGCTGCCCCGCCCTCGCCCGCCGCCCCGCTGCCCCGCCCCGCCTCCGCGCCCCGCCCTGCGGCCGCCGCCCGCTCCCCTTTGCGGCCTCCGCCCCGACGCCGGACGCGTCCCCGTGAGGGGCCGGCCGTCTCTCCTTCTCCCCGCGTCGTCTCACCGACTGGGCGCCCGCGCGGTTCTCCGCGCGTGCGCTGGGCGCCATGGCGGTGCGCCTGGCCGCGACGATCGGAAAGTGTGCGTGTGCGTGTGCGTGTGCGTGTGCGTGTGCGTGTGCGTGTGCGTGTGCGTGTGCGTGCGCGTGCGCGTGCGTGTGTGCGTGCGTGCGTGCATGCGTGCGTGCGTGTGTGTGTGTGTGTGCGCGCGCGCGCGTGCGCGCGTGCGCGCGTGCGTGCGTGCGTGCGTGGGTGCGTGCGTGCGTGCGTGCGTTCGTGCGTGCGTGCGTGCGTGCGTGCGTGCGTGCGTGCGTGCGTGTGCGCGTGTGCGTGTGCGTGTGCGCGCGCGTCAGTGTTGCGGAGCAAGCGTTGGGCTGGTCTTGGAGGAAGCCGATTCGTTTCGAATCTGAGCGACGCTCCCTGCGCTGCGAGGGACGATGGGCTTCAACGACCGAGTGCCCTCCGCGCTGGGCCGCCGCCTGCCTTGCGCCGCGCCGCTGCCGCTCCCCACCCCTCCGTGCACGTACGCCTTGCCTGGCCCGCTGACGTGGACTTGAGATGCTGACTTCGTGCGCGCACCGCGGTGGAGCAACAAAAACACTCTTCTTCCTCCGCCTTCTCGTGCTGCCCTGGCCTCCTCCGGCCTCCTCCTGCTGCTGCTATCTCCTCCCCCTCCTCCTCCTCCTCCTCCTCCTCCTCCCTCCTCCTCCTCTCCTCCTCCTCCTCCTCCTTCCCCTCATCTTCCTCCTTCTCCTCCTCCTCTCCTCCTCCTCCTCATCCTCCTCATCCTGCCCCCCATCTCCTCTCTCCCCTCCTCCTCCCTCACCTCCTCTTCCTCCTTCTCTTCCTCCTCCTCCTCCTCCTCCTCCTCCTCCTCCTCATCCTCCTTCTCCTCCTCCTCCTCCTCCTCCTCCTCCTCCTCCTCCTTCTCCCCCTCCTCCAACTCCAACTCCAACTCCAACTCCTCTTCCCCGTGCTTGGGTTCTCCTCCTTCTCCTCGGGGGGCCTCTTGCTTTTCTTGAGGCTTCCTGTTGCCTCCTGGACCCTTCTGGGGTCTTCTGGAGCCTTCTGAGGCCTCCCGGGGCCTTCTGGGGCCCCATGGGGTACTCCTGGGACCTTCTGAGGCCTTTTGTGGCTTCCTGCGGCCTCCTGGGGCTTCCTGATGGCTCAGGCTCAGGAGCTCCGCTCCGAAGTGATGCCACTTACAGGATCTGCGCGATCCGTTCGGATTGCCAACACGAGGCGGGGGCCTAATAGGGAGGGAGCTCCCGCCTGAGACCTTCTCGCAATGTACTCACACAGGAGGCTCCCGTGCGAGAATCTCTTCGGACCCAGGCCTTATGAGCTCAAGCGCCCACTCGGATGGCGAACATGACGTGCTGCTCCCGTGGGGAGGGAGCTTCCGCTCGAGGCTTCTCCACGACTCTGGACGTTTCGCGTAACCCCGCCAGCGGTGGAGGCGCTCCGCTAGATTGATGCGTGGTTTACAGATACAGAGCCGATCATGCTCTCCTGGCGTGCAGGACTTAATTCCACTCTGGCGTTTTGGAGCCATTCTCCCGCATGTTGCATCTGCTACCCTGGCCTTCTGCAGGCAGCTCAGCCAGCTTCCCTCCAGCTGCAGCCCCACCGGCGGCTGCTCCTGAGTGCGGGCTCGGCCGCTTCGCTTTAGGCTCGTGCGTGGCCAATTTGGCAGGCCCGTGGCCCGGACCTCTCCCTCGGCGACTGCGTTTCCGCGTCCGCCCGCGACCAAAAAAAAGTAACCCCGCCAGCCCATCCCACAACGATGCTCACGCGAGTCGCGCAACTTGTTGCTTGAAAGCCTCCTTGGGGGCGTATTGGGGGCCTCTCGGGGCCGCTGGGGCGCCATCCTGGGGCCATCTCTCGGGGCCCTCTTGAGGTTCCCTTGGGTTTTTTTGGGGGGGACACGTGCAGGTGGGTATCGATCGAGGAGGGGTGGTTTTTTTATTCGCGTCGCCCCTGCTGGAGCCCCCGAAGTCGCCGCCTCCGAGGGCAGTTCGAGGGCGCTTCTGGGAGTTCTTGGGGCCCCGCTTGAGCCATCGTGGGGCCATCTTGAAGCCTCTGAGGCCAATCGGAAGCGAGAGGGCGAGAAGGCCAACATCACCGATTCCCCATCGGTTTGGGGCGGAGTTTGGCCTCTCAGGTGCCTCCTGGGGCATCTCCGTGGCCACTTGAAGCCACCTTGGGGTCAGCATGGGGCCTCGTGGAGATATCCTGGAAGCCATCGTGGGCCAACTTGTGCCACATTGCGGCATTCCGGGAGCTGTCTGAAAGAGCTTGGGGCCACCTCGGAGCCCCCATGGGACAACACCCTGCGAAGGATACCCCCGATAAACACATGTCCGTTAAAACCGTTGTGCGTGCTCACTGTTTCTGTTGATCAAAGAGAGGGCGGCCAACTTAGCGTCCCCCCTCTGGAACTCTAGCGTCGCATCTTGGGGTCCTCCTGGGGCGCTCCTGGGCGCCTTCAGGGCCGTCTTGGGGCCAATCCTGGGCCCCTCTTGTGGCTATCTAGGCCCCCGAGCCATCTGGGTGTTTCGGAAAACCTTCTGAAGCGAAAGGGCGAGAGGGCTAACATCTCTGGTTCTCTTTGGGTGCTTGATTGGGTTTTGCCTCTTGGGGGCCTCCTTGGGAGGCTCCGAGGCCACCTGGACCTGTCTTGGAGTGGTCTACGAGCCATCTTGGAGTAGCCTGGGCAATCTTGGAGGTGTTGGGCTCCAGGAAGCCCTATTGAAGCCATCTTGGGCAATCTGGGCAGGTCCAGCGCCTCGCAACCCCCCCCCCCCTTCCAGGTCCACGGGGAAGGAGTAAGGGGAGGGGCAAACCCCTTTTCCCCGAGCGGGAAGAAGGGGGTTGGAACAGGAAGCGCGCCAAACCACTCACGCCCGAAAGGGCTGGCAGAATTTCATCACATACGAGGCTCCCGCTAAAGACTTCCTTCAGATGCAGGCCTCAGGAGTTCAAACGTCTCGACAGTTACAGGACCTGTATGACCCGCTCGGACTGCTCGCATGAACTGGGGCCCCCATCCCGAGGGATCTCCCGCTCGAGGCTCCCCCAGGTTTTAATCACAGGCGAGGCTCTCGCTCGAAAGTTCCTACAGTACGAGGCCCCAGGAGCCCCAAAACAACCTCGGCTATAGGATCTGTGCGACACCTTTTCGGATGGCGAACGTGAAGTGGAGGCCCCATACTTAGGAAGGGAACGCTCCCTCAATACTCCCTGGCAGTTCGCTCACAGACGAAGCTCCCACTCGAGACGTTCTCCAGATGCAGGCTTCCGGGGCCCAGCAGCGACTACAGGTACAGGATCCGTATGGCCCGCTCGGGTTGCTCACGTGAATCGGAGCTCCCACGGGGAGGGAGCTCCCGTTCGAGATTGCAGCACACATCAGTCGTCGAAGTCAGGCCTCAGGAGCCCCAGCGCGACGACGGTGACGGGATCTGTATGGCCAACCTGGGTTTTAGCATGAAGCGGGCCACCCCTGAGGTGGGAACTCCCGCCCGAGACGCCCTCACAATTCAACCACAGACGACGAGGCTCCCGCTCGAGACGTCCTCAAGATGCGCGTATGAGTGTGTGAGTGCGTGGGCGCGTAAGCGTGTGAGTGTGCATGAGGTATGGATTATGAGTGACGGTGATGGGGATGATGATGTTGATGATGACCAAGAGAAGGATCATGATCAGGATCAGGACCTGGTGATTCCAGTGCTGATGATATCGTTGAGCGTGCGTCTGTGTGCCAACGTGATTAGTGTGACGATGATGATGAAATTGATGATGCTGATGATGAAGATGAACATGATAATTATGATGATGCTAGTGACGATGTTTATGATGTTGTTCATGACGGGGATGACGATGACTATGATGAAGATGTTGATGCAAATGATGATGCTGTTGCTGAAGGTTATCACTATCATGATCTTGCTCATACTGAGGATGATCATGAGGATGATGATGTGGACGAGGATGGGAATGAGGATGAGGACATTGATGATGGTGATGGTAATGGTGGTGGTGATGGCGATGATAACGTTGATGCTGATGCTGCTGCAGGCTGCTGCTGCTGATGATGATGAAGATGATGAAGATGATGATGATGATGATGATGATGATGATGATGATGATGATGATGATGATGATGATGATGGTGGTGGCGATGATGGTGATGGTGATGATGATAATGATGCTGATGCTGATGCTGATGCTGATGCTGCTGATGATGATGATGATGATGATGAGGATGAGGATGAGGATGATGATGATGATGATGATGATGATGATGATGATGATGATGATGATGATGATGATGATGATGATGATGAGTGATGATGATGCTGATGATGATGATGATGATGATGATGATGATGATGATGATGATGATGATGATGATGATGGTGTTGACGGGGATTGAGGCCTCAAAGGTTCAAACGATGATTGGTACTTTGTGCGTTTGTGAAAGATGGTAGCGGCGTTATTGATGCGAAAGTGTTGACTGCGATGATGGTGACGTTGCTGCTGCTGACGATGAATGTGGTGGTGACGATGGCGGTGAGGACGGTACGGATGACGATGATGCGAGGGTGAGCGTGTGGGTGAGTTTGTGTTCCTGCGTGGGGGCGTCTAGAGAAAACACTAGCCCACTTATACCGACGCCCTCCTCCTCCTCCCCCTCCTCCTCCTCCTCTCCTCCTCCTCCTCTTCCTCCTCCTCTCCCCCTCCTCCCCCTCCTCCTCTCCTCCTCCTCCTCCTCCTCCTCCTCTCCTCCTCCCCCTCCTCCTCCCTCCTCCTCCTCCTCCTCCCTCCTCCTCCTCCTCCCTCCTCCTCCTCCCTCCTCCTCCTCCTCCTCCTCCTCCTCCTCCTCCTCCTCCTCCTCCTCCTCCTCCTCCCCCTCCTCCTCTAGGATGCTCGGGATCATTCCCGCGTGGTTTGGAATCACTCCCGCGGGCTCGCCTCGTCGGGCCTCCGGCGGCCCCAGAGGCCCCCCGAGGAGGCCCCCAGGGAGGGCCCCAGCAGGGCTCGACGAGGGTCCAACCGGGGCTCCAAGGACGGCCCAGCAGGCCGCCCAGGAGGATCCAAGACGAACCCAGGGAGGAGGAGGAGGAGGAGGAGGAGGAGGAGGAGGAGGAGGAGGAGGAGGAGGAGGCGGAGGAGGAGGAGGAGGAGGAGGAGGAGGAGGGTCCAACGGGGCTCCAATGACGGCCCAGCAGGCCGCCCAGGAGGATCCAAGGTGAACCCAGGGCGACGCGGGAGCGCCCCGAGGAGGCCCCAAGAGGGCCCAACAGAGGAGGCCCCAAGAGGGCCCGAGAGGGCCCAAGAGGCCCCAAGAGGGCCCCACAGGGCTCGACGGCGGTCCAACGGGGCTCCAATGACGGCCCAGCAGGCCGCCCAGGTGGATCCAAGGTGAAGCCAGGGCTAGGGGGCCACATGCGAACCCTACCCCTACCCCCCACGGTTTCTGAGGGGGAGAGTGGGGTCCACCTCGCTCGGGAGCTCCCGAGCGAAGTGGACCCCATCCTCCCCCTCAGAAACCGTGGGGGGTAGGGGTAGGGTTCGCATGTGGCCCCCTAAGGGCGACGCGGGAGCGCTCCAAGATGGTCCCAAGGCACCTCCCGAGCATCCCCGGGCCTGCCCAGGAAGCTCCAAGCGGCCCCGTGGGCCGCCCACGTGGCTCCGGGAGGCGCGGGAGGATTCCAAGGGGGGCAAGGAAGCCCGAGGGAGGGCACCAAGAAGGCTCCCAAAGGCTCCCGAGAGGCCCCGGGGAGGCATCTAGAGAGGCCTTCCGTCGCGCGGCCCCACGAGACCCCCAAGAGGCCCCTGTCGCCTCCTCCCTCCTCGCCCCTCTCTCCTCGCCGCCTCCTCCCTCCTCGGCCTTTCTCCTCTTCTCTGGCTGCTCCTCGCTCTTCGCCGGTCGCTCCCCGCTACTCCGCCTCCCTCTTCGATCTCTCTTCGGTCCTGGCTCTGCGATCCCCTCCTGGCAGCAGTACCAAGCTGGCAGCAGCAGCGGCAGCACGCAGTAACAGCAACCAGCAAGCAGCTGGCTGGCAGCAGCAAGCAGCAGTAGCGGGCAGCAGAACGCACCACACCGAAATGGCGATCATCAGCACCCTGCGGCCACAAACAGCAGCAACAACACGCAGCAGCGGCAAGCATCACCAGCAGCACGCAACAGTGGCAGTCAGCAGCAGCATGCAGTAGCATGCGCGCAATGCGAGGGTCAAGTCCCACTTTCTCGTCGCAGCCTGTCGGAAGCATGTCCACACACGCATGCCTGTTCGTGCAGATTTCGTGGACGTGGCCCACGCGTCAGCCATAGTCAGCTATAACGCTGGGATCAGCGCGTGCGAGAGGGGCGAGCAGTGGCAGCGAGCGTTAGCGCTGCTCAGCGAGATGTCAAAGGCGAATTTGAAGCCCAACGTCATTTATCTGCTCTAAAGTCAGGCGCAGCACCTGAAGGAAAGGTGGGCGCTCAAGTGGCTCAAGGTCGGCCCTTTCGGCCCCAGGCTGCTCCAAGAGGCCCAAGAGGGCCACAAGTGGGCTTCAAGACTTTCCAAGAGAGGCGCTAGACCGTCCACAAGGGCTCTAAGACGGCCCCAGAGAGAGCTCCAACGAAGCCCACGAGCGCCCCTTGGCGGCCCAAGAACGCCCCAGAGGCTCCCAAACACGCCCCCAGACGCCTCCAAGAGGATCTGGAGTGGGCTTCCACGCGCGCAAACCATTGACGTCCATATGGTTTCCGAATAATGTTCGCATGCTCGCAATGTCGGGCTGAGGGACACCCTGGACGGCCCAAGAAGTTCCCGAGATCAACACAAGACGGCCGAATATTCCCCCAGTCTGAGGACTTCAATATGGCCAAACAGGGTCCCAAGACGGTCCAAGAGGCCGCTGAGATGGCCAAGGGGGCCCAGGCACACACCAACATGGCCTCAAGACGCCCCCCGAACGCCCCCGGACACACCACAAAAACACCTCCCAGTGGACCCAAGGGCCGCCCAGACGGCTCCAGGAGGCCCTATAGGAGCCAGAGGTGGCCCCAAGAAGGCCCCAAGAGTCTCCCGAGGGGCACCCGAAAGACATCTCGAGAGGCCTTCCCTCACGAGGCCTTCAGAGACCCCCAAGGCGGCCACTTCGGGCAACAAAGAGGACAGAGTCCACGGGTCAGCCCTGGTCTTTCCTACATTGCAGAAGGCCCTTGCGTGCCAGAACGACCTGTGCACCAATCGCCCCCTGGAGCCCCCCGCGGCGTCCTGAGACCCCCCTGCGCGCTCCACGGCGGCTCCGGAGGGCCCTGAGACGGTCCAAAATGGCCCGAGATGCCTCCCGATGTTTCGAGAAGTTGCCGATATGGTTTTCAACCAGGCCAGCAGGCCCCGAGACGGCCCAAGAGGGCTCCAAGAGGCTCCCCGTGAGGGTCCCGAGAGTCCGAAGTAATTGATGTCCTATGGGCCTTTGAATCTGATTTTTATGATCTCGTCTTTTTCGAGGGCCCGACGCTCCAAGACGGCCCAAGAGGCCCCAGCATCGACCCAAGACGGATCGCCAGGTTCTCGAGGTGGCACCCAGACAACCCCAAAAACGCCCCAAGACGGCCCAAGGGTTTCCCCAATCAGATGGCCCAAGACGGCCCCAAGAGGGGGAACGGGAACAAGCATTTCGCACCCTCCGCCCCGAGATGTCGGGGCTGGACAGAACCCCCAACAGTGACACGTCGATTAGTGAATTGTCCGTTTTCGGTTCTCGAGAGGGCGCCGTGGCCGTTATTTTCCAGGCTTGCGCCCGCCAGGTTTGGGCCTCAGGTCGTTTTCACTAAACCACGTTTTACTAAAGGGGGGTCTGTCCATCCCCGAAGATGACCCCCGCGACCGCCATGCGGTCCAGGAGGCCCCCCACGAGGGTCCCCAAACCGCCTCCAGACGCCCCACGGGCGGCCCCAGAGGAGACCAGCTGTTCGGCCATGCGCGCGCCGAGACCATTGAGACACTCGTGTGCTGGCCTCTTCTCATGTCTCTCTTCTCGTTCGTCGCTCCGCGCTCCTCGCCCCTCGCTACTCGCCCCGCTCCTGACGGCTCTTGTGTCTTTACTCCCCTTCGCTCGTCGCACCTCCCTCCTGCCCCCTCGCCTCTCCCTCTTGGCTGCTGGCGTCTGGCTCGACCCCTTCTCTTCGGCTCTCACTCGCCTCTCCTCGCTTCTCTCTCTCTCTATCCTCGGCCGTCGCTCCTTCCTCCTCGCTCCTTAACTCTCGCTGATCGCTCCGCGCTCCCCCCACCCAAAACTGACCCTGACTCCTCGCTCCTGGCTCCTCGCTCCTCGGTCCACTCACGAGCGGCATGCTGCGTCAACTAGCAAGGGCACCAAGACGCAGCAGTCTGCACCCTCGAGCGGCAAGAGCGAACAGCAGCAGCCCGCAGCGAGCAGATGCAGCTCACAGCAAAAGGAAGCAGGAGCGGCACCAAGCCTCAGACAGCATCGCCCCGCAGCTTCAAGCAGCGGCAGGAGAGGCGAAGTTTGGGCCCAGCGTCATCACCAACTCCTTTGGGTAATCCGTCGGCCCTGGCCCAACGAGCCGCCTCGGACAGATTTGGGCCCAGCGTCATCGCCAAATCCTTTCGGTACTCCGTCGGCCCTGGCCCCACGAGCCGCCTCGATCCGATTCCGTGGGCAGGTGGGCCACGGGCCAGCACAAGTCTCTACCCTGCAGTGCCAGGGCCAGCGCGGACCTCGGCCCGGGGCCGCTCTCCCGGCGCTCCCTGGGCGGCCCCGGCTGGCCGCTGGCGGCGCTCCCGGGGCGGCCCCTGGGCGGCCGTGGACGGCCACCGGAAGGCTCCGAGGCGGCCCAGGACGGGGCCGCTCACGAGGGCGCCCGGCCGGCCCAAGAGGACCCCGAGCGAGCCCTGGCCCAGCACGCCCCCCAACAAACAAGCCGGGAGACTCCAGAGCCGGCCCAAGAGGGCCCCGAGAACGGCCCGCCGACTGCAAAATCGTATGTTCCCTGAGGCTTTTGATCGATCTTCAGGTCTTCCCCATATCGGGCCCAGGACAGCCACCAACGGCTCCAGGGTTAAGTCGGGCCTGTTCCCCTACAGGGGGATTTTCGATGAAAAATACAAATGCCCCCAAAATAGTCCAAGCATAGTCCAAAAATAGTCTGGGGACTATTGTTTGAGTATTATTTGCCTTTTGGGGCATTTTTGGGGTATTTTTTATTTTTCGTCGAAAATCCCCCTGTAGGGGGACACGCCCGACATAACTCCAGGGTCACCCCAGATCGCCCCAGCACGGCCCAAGAAGCTTCTATAGGCGGGTCTCGGGGCACCGGCCGAGCACCTGGAGAGGAATCTGCAGGCAGCACGCAGGCGGAGCGAGGAGGGCTCCAAGACAGCCCAGGGAACTTCCAGGGCGGCTCCAAAATGGTTTCAAGCTTAAGCTAGCAGACATTGGACAGCAGCCATTTTCTGGTGGGGCACGCTGTTCTGTTAAACGTATGTTGAATTGGGGACCCTCTGTGACGCTTCTCGGAGCTCCCAGAGATTCGACGGGTTTGTTCGGCATCTGCGGGCTGTTCTGTGGATTTCATCCACGGTGTGCGAGTTCCAGGTTCAGCACGCTTTGGATTGAATAAACGGGCACACGCTAGTATCATTAGTTACGTTGCAGGCAAACGCGCGTGCCAAAAGGGCCTGAGGATGAAAGGGGCGCGAAAACGCTGCGGTGCGGCTTCTGAGCCCTCGGCGAGGCGCAGCCGAGATGTAACACGAAGGTGCAGCGTTAAATGGGTAAAATCTGTCTGCGGCCTCCACGCTAGTCGAAGACGCCTCCGAGGCGGCCAGCGAGCGCTCGAAGACGCCCAAGATCGCCTGAAGACCTCCCCAGAGGCCTCCAACAATGGTCCGTGGAAGCGCCCAGAAGAATCCAGGAGTATTGAGAAGACCATGCGAGGAGACCGACATACATGTGTTGCTTTGGTTTTTCATTGTTTGTCGGATTCTCCGCAGTTCCCACAAGACAGCCCAAGACACCTCCCAGATCCACCCGAGACGCCCCAAGACTGCCCAAAAGGCTCCGATGAGAGCCTCCGCGCGGCCCCAGAGGAACGCCACGACAGCTCCAGGAGTGAGGGGAAGACCTCCTGCGGGGCGGCCTCCTGCGCCTTCCGGGAGACGCGGACGACACTCAACGCAAGGATGGCGTACAGTCGGCCCGGATTAGTGGGTCGACCTTGCCAAGTCAAGGGGATACCCTTGTGACCTGTACCTCGAGACGCGTGCCTTCTCGCAGTCCTACGGCGATGCGGCCCTCGGAAGGGTCTTGTGTCCTCTCGCGTGTCCTGTCCAATCAAGGCCGACTGTATTCCAATCTGGACTGCTCAAAACCCCGACCAGAACTCAGACGCCAGGGTCCTGGCGCTATTCTTCCGCCCTGAAGGTCAGGGCACCAGACGCCCGCGCCGGTCCTGGCCAGGGCGCCCCTGGTCCCAGGGCTGGTGCAGGAGGAGCAGGAGCAGGAGCAGGAGCAGGAGGAGGAGGAGGAGGAGGAGGAGGAGGAGGAGGAGGAGGAGGAGGAGGAGGAGGAGGAGGAGGGAGGAGGAGGAGGAGGAGGAGGAGGAGGAGCAGAAGGGTGGCGTATTCACTTCTGTCCGCGGCCCCCGGGCTCGGGCGCTGCGGGCCCCCGCACCCCTGCCGCGGAGCGTCTTCGGTGGTGCCCGCGGCCCTGGGACCGGGCGCGGGGGCCTCGGCGTCCCGGCCGCGGACGTGCTTCCGCAGGCCGCCCCCGCGCTCGATCTCGTCCCCCGGGCATCGGCGAGCAGCGCCACCGGGCGCTCCCGCTGCTCAGCGAGATGCTGCGAGCGAGCGCGCCTGGGGGCACCACCTATCCCCCCTGCAGGTGGGCGCGGTCCGCGGGTCGGCCCTGTAGCCTACCCTGCAACACCGGGAGAGCCGCGCGCCAGAGCGCAGATGGTTCAGAGGTCTCCGAACCGGCCCCGGCCAGTCCTGGCGCGCTCCAGGCTTCCCCCAGGGGACTCCAAGATCGTCCAAGAGGGGCCCAAGAAGGTCCAAGATGGCTCGAGACGCCTCCAGACGGTCCCAGAGGTCGCCAATATGACTTTCACACGACCCACAGGGCCGCAAGACGTCCCAAGAGGGCGGCCCCCTCGGATTTTTGACGCTGCAAGATAACCCCAAGTGGCCCCAAATGTCGCCCCGAGACGCCCACCATGCCCCCAAGAGGGCCCCCAGACAGCCCAAGAAGGCCCCAAGGACGGCCCAAGAGGCCCCCAAGACGGCCCCCAAGAGGGTCCCTCAGAAGGGGGCACTCGAGCTGATATTTCGCGCTCTCGGCTCCAAGATGGTCCCAGAGACCGCCAGCAGAGGTCCGCCAGAGCAGTCCCCGGAGGACCCCAGGAGGCCCAAAAATCAGACCCCTGAGGCCCCGCAGAGGCCCCCAAACGCCCCCCCCAAACCGCCTGCAAGATGCTTCCCGGGGGAAGATCCCGCAGGAAACTAGGGCTGGGCGACTCGTATGGGAGCTCCCCCTGAGAGTGCTCCGGACAGGCCGGTCACTGGGGGCATGCTCCGCGGTGCCTTCAAATTTCTTTAGCAGCCCGCGCGCATCCTCCGACTTACCCAGGCGGCCACAGCCACCATGGAACATCTTTGGGAAAAAGGGCCCACACACTCATGCTTCTCCATATCCAGCCTTGGACCTAATAGGGCCTCAAGGCGGCTCAAGATCATCCTGGGACGGCACAATGCGCCCCGATGAATGACCCCCCGAAGGCAAGCAGCAGCAGCAGCAGCACGCAGCAGCAGTACTAAGCATTACCAACAGCACGCGGCAGCGGCATCAATCAGCAGCATGCAGGAGCATGCGCGGAGTGCGAAGTTCGAGCCCCACGACATGATGTCAGCCTTTCGGCAGCATGTCCACCACTACATGCCAGTTCGTGCAGATTTCATGGAAGGAGTCCAGGGTCAGCCCTAGTCTCTACTACATTGCAGGGCCCAGTGCGTGCCAGAAGGGCGCAGGCTTCAATGAGTCAAAACCGCCCCGGGCTGGCCCCGGGCCGCCCCGGGCCGCCCAGGCAGGCTCCAGGACATGTCGAGAGGGCCCCCAGAAGCCCCCAAGACGGCCCCGGAGAGCCCCGGCACGCTTAAAGATGGGTCCAAGACGCCCGAGATTCGCCCCAGACGGCCCAAGAGGCGTCCAAGACGCCCGAAGAGGCCTCCCAAGAGGCCTCCCAAGAGGGCCCCGAGCGACAGAAATCGTAGATTTCTCTTGTGTTTTTCGATGTTTTCGGCCTCCTCGCCTCTTCGGCTTCCCGACGCTCCAAGACGGCCCAAGAAGTCCCCCCGACCGCTCCAAGACGGCCGAAGAGGACCCCAAGAGAGCCCCAAGACGGGCCAGGAGGGCCCCAAGACGGTCCCAAGACGCCCCAGGACGGCCCCAGGACGGCCCAGGAGGCGCCCAAGACGGCCCAAGAGGCACCCAAGACGGCCCCAGGAGCGGCCCAAGACGGCCCAAGACAGCCCAAGAGGCGCCGAGGCGGGCCTCAGACGGCCCCAAGACGGCCCAAGAGGCACCCAAGACGGCCCGAGAGGGCCCTAAGAGCCCCCCCGGGAGGCCCAAAAGAAGGCCGAAGAGGCTCCGAAACGGCCCCCACGAAGCCTTCAGTGGCTTCAGAATTCCCTCCAGGAGCGGGGGAGCGGACGAGAGGCGACAGGCATATCGCAGGCAAAAACGCCCCAAGAGATCCCCAAACGGCCCCCACGAAGCCCTAAGTGGCCTCAGAATTGCTTCCAGGAGGGGGGGAGCGGACGAGAGGCGACCGGCATATCGAAGGCACAAAAGAACAATGTTGGACGCTCCGAGGGCCTTCGATGTTTCTCTGTTGGGGAGAGTCGTCGTAGGATCGACGATTGCCGACCGAGGGCATGGAGAATCCAGCGAAAGAGGAGAAGAAGGTGGAAGAGGAGGAGGAGGAGGAGGAGGCGGAGGAGGAGGAGGACGAGGAGGGGGAGGAAGCAGCAGGACCTCCGAGCAGCAGCAGCAGCTGAAGAACACAGGAGAGCTACCGCCGGGTCTGACAGGCCAGCTACCGCCCCCCTTTGCCCGATATGCTGTGCCATAATGTTCCCCCATGGGCCTTGGCAAACTCTTCGGGCCAACCAGACCGGACCCCTGGGACAGCAGCCAATTGATATGACCCAGGCACCTCTCCGCACTCTTCGGACCACAGACCCTCTGGGCAAGCAGAATGGGACTTGGCGAACAAACCCTCCCGTTGGCGGCGATGCGACTGGATCGCACCATCAAGGCGTGCCCGGAGGTGATAGCCGACCCAACAGCGGCTTCTGTTAAGATTTTACAGAATTTCAGATTTTCTTTAAGCTCTCTGGGGCCCTCCCTCTAGATCCTTGCGCTCCCCGGCGCTTTCGGTGGTTGTCCCCGATGGCCTCCCGAGCCCTTCCCCAGGCGCTCCTGAGACGCCTCAGATGAGCTTCGACTTCGACGCACATCCCCGAGAGACTTCGAAACTGCCCTCAATAGAAGGGGGGTGAACGAGAAGTGCGCCGGGGCCAAGCTGCTGGAGCGCTGCAAGAGCTCGGACACGAAGGCGCAGTCTCGCAGCCGCCGCCCGAACCGCCGCCGTGTTTGTAGATTTTCGGTGCAATCTGCGCCGTTCCTCCGAAAACCATTCCAGAAAGATGTCGTGGACGGAGTCCACGGGTCAGCCCTAGTCTCTACTACATTGCAGGGCCCAGTGCGTGCCAGAAGGGCGCAGGCCCCATTAACTCATAATCGCCCCTGGCTGGCCCCGGGCCGCCCCGGGCCGCCCCGGGCCGCCCCAAGACGCGCCAAGGAAGCCCCAAGAGGCCCCCAAGACGGCTCCGGAGGGCCCCGGCACGCCCCAAGATGGGCCCAAGACGCTCAAGATTGGCCCAAGACGGCCCAAGAAGCCTCCCAGACGCCCCAAGAGGCTTCCCCAGAGGCCTCCCAAGAGGGCCCCGAGCGGTAGAAACCGTCGATTTCCATTGTGTTTTTCGATGGTTTCGGCCTCCTCGCCTTTTCGGCACCCCGACGCTCCAAGACGGGCCAAGAGCTCCCCCAGACCGCTCCAAGACGGCCGAAGAGGACCCCAAGAGAGCCCCAAGACAGGCCAAGAGGGCCCCCAAGACGGCCCCACGGCGGCCCAGGACGGCCCCAGGACAGCCCAGGAGGCGCCCAAGACGGCCCAACAGGCACCCAAGACGGCCCCAGGAGCGGCCCAAGACGGCCCAAGCCAGCCCAAGAGGCGCCGAGGCGGGTCTCAGACGGCCCCAAGACGGCCCAAGAGGCACCCAAGACGGCCCGAGAGGGCCCTGAGAGCCCCCCCGGGAGGCTGTGGGCGAACAAGAGGAATCCCAGCGGGACGCCAACCCTGGGGCCCGTGGGCCCCGCGCCGCTTGGGCAGAAGACGAACGCCGGGTCTGACAGGCCAGCTACCGCCCCCCTTTGCCCGATATGCTGTGCCATTCTGTTCCCCCAGGGGCCTTGGCAAACTCTTCGGGCCAAGCAGACCGGACCCCTGGGACAGCAGCCAATTGATATGACCCTGGGACCTCTCCGCATTCTTCGGACGAGCATCTGGGGGGCCCAGGAGATTCGGACATGTCTTCCCCATTCCTTGCCCTGTCCCGTTCTGTTCGCCCGAAGGCCTCCACAGACCCTCTGGGCGAACAGAATGGGACATGGCGAACAAACCCTCCCGTTGGCGGTGATGCGACTGGATCGCACCATCAAGGCGCGCCCGGAGGTGATGGCCGACCCAACAGCGGTTTCTCTTAAGAGTTCACTGGATTTCAAATTTTCTTGAAGCTCTCTTGGGCCCTCCCTGTAGATCCTTGCGAGCCTCCCCGGCGCTTTCGGTGGCTTTCCCCGATGGCCTCCCGAGCCCTTCCCCGAGCGCTCCTGAGGCGCCTCAGATGGGCTTCGACTTCGACGCACATCCCCGAGAAACTTCGAAACTGTCCTCAATAGGAGGGGGGTGAACGAGCAGTGCGCTGGGCCAAGCTGCTGCAGCGCTGCAAGAGCTCGGACACGAAGGCGCCGCCCGAGCCGCCGCCGTGTTTGTAGATTTTCGGTACAATCTGCGCCGTTCCTCCGAGAACCATTCCAGAAAGATGTCGTGGACGGAGTCCACGGGTCAGCCCTAGTCAGCTACAGCACTGGGGTCAGCGCGTGCGGGAAGGGCGGGCAGTGGCAGCGGGCTTTGGCGCTGCTCAGCGAGATGCGGGAGGCGAAGCTGGAGCACGGCGTCATCAGCTACAGCGCTGGGATCAGCGCGTGCGAGAAGGGCGGGCAGTGGCAGCAGGCGTTGGTGCTGCTCAGCGAGATGCGGGAGGAGAAGCTGGAGCTCGACGTTATCTGTATTACATTTCAGACATACGCGCGTGCGCGAAGTACGCTGTCCCAAAGGCTCCTTCGGCGCCCCAGCGGGCCTCCCGGGCGGCCCCGGGCCGCTTGAAGACGTCCCAAGGCGCTCTAAGACGCCCCAAGAGCGCCAAGAGTTATGATGCCTACTTGAAGCCTTGACCACCAGAGAGAATTTCGAGCACCAGGGATGTATCGAAGCTGCATGGTTTTTGCGTGGTGGGCCCTGGGGTGCGATACTTGTTCGGTACTTCGCTAGCGTGTCGGGGAGACACTGTCACGACACTTCTCGGGGTGCTCGAAATTGCTTTTGGGAGAAGGTCCTTGAGTACGATGAGAACAACATAGCCCAACAGCGCCTGAGCGCCTTCAGGTCGTCCCAGACGCTCCACGGCCGCTCCTAGACGCCGACACCGTTCCACGTGGACCCCAACAAAACAGCCCAAGAGGGCCCAAGAGGACTCCGACCACGCGGCTCCATGCACGTTTACGATCGCCCCAAGATGGCCCGAAAGGCCCCGACGAGCGCACCAGAACGGCCCAAGAAGGCCCCGCCATCCCCAATACTGGCTCCAGACAGCTTGGTAGAGTTTCGGGTGGCCCCCCAAGACGTCCCAGGAATTGCCCAGGAGGGCCCCAGCCGAGCTCCAACACGGCCGCAGACCCCCACCAGGGCCCCACGACGGCCGTGGAGGTCCCCAGGACGGCCCCAGAGGGCCCCAGTGTGGCCCAAGAGGGCCGCACAATGGCCCAAGAGGGCTCCGGGACCTGTTGAAGACAAAGAGGGCCCCAGAATGGCCCAAGGGGGCTCCAGATGGCCCCCGTGGGCACCCCATCTCTTCTCGAGCCGCCTCCCGCCTGCCTCGGCCTCTTTCTCCTCTGGGAGCATGCGCCCCCCCCTCTCCTCCTCCTCCTCCTCCTCCTCCTCCTCCTCCTCCTCCTCCTCCTCCTCCTCCTCCTCCTCCTCCTCCTCCTCCTCTTGGAAGAGGTTGTAGCGGCACTGAACTACGGGATTCCCGCAGCAGTCGATGCCACGATAAACCCCCCAAGGGACCACTCCGAGATAGCCCACACCCTTCCAGATAGCGCACACCCGCCCAAGACATTCCAAGACCGCCTCCAGCTCCGGCGCTGCTGGACACATACCTCGCCGCCATGTTGATAATTTGCCGTTCGGCAGCATCTCCGCCGCTCCTCCGAGAACTGCTTCGTACAGATTCCATGGACGCAGTCAACGGGTCAGCCCCAGTCAGCTGCAATGCTGCCACCAGCGCGTGCGAGAAAGGGGAGCATTGGCAGCTGGCTCTGGCGCTCTTCAGCGAGATGCGGGAGGCGAAGCTGGAGCCCAACGTCACCTGCCCTACGATACTGCGCACAGCGCGCGCGCGCGAAAAGAGCGAGCGGTGGCATCGAACCCGTCCCCCCCGGGCCGGTCCGGGGGCGCCCCCCACGTGGCCCGGGCCGCTCCGCGCGGGCCCTCGGAGCCGCCTCTCGGCAGCCCTTCGGAGGGGCCCCGATGGCGCAGGCGACGGCGCAAGACTGCCGAGCATGGCCCCCGGACAGCCCAAGAGGCGCCCGTGACGCCCCAGGACCGCCCCGAAGAGACCCCCAGGGGGCGCGTCCGGAAGCCGAGATTTTTGTTTTTTTGAGGCAGTATGGGCTCTTCAATGTTTTGGGGGCGCTCTCACCTTTTCGGGCTTCAGCCGCCCAAGACGGTGTCAGGGCCCCCCAGATCGCACCAGGGCGGCCCCAGAGGCTCCCAAGAGCGCCCCAACACGGCCCAGGAAGCCCCAAGACGGTTCCAAGACGGCCCCAAGATGGTCCTGGAATGCCCCAAGAGAAGTCCTAGAGAAGCTCAAGTTGTCCGAGAGGCCCCCAAGCCGGCCCAAGCCGGCCCCAGAAGGTTCCGAGCCGGCCTCGCAGGGCCCCAAGAGGGCGCCAAGACGGCCCCAGGATAGCCCAAGAGAGCCCGAAGTCGAGCCAAGAGGGACCCCAGAGCCCCCCCAGAGGCCGAATTCATAAATTATTAGATTTTTTCTTGCTCTACTCTTTTCGGGCTTCAGCCGCCCAAGACGGCCTCAGGGGCCTCCCAGATCGTGCCAGGGCGGCCCCAGAGGCTCCCAAGAGCGCCCCAACACGGCCCATGAAAGCCCCAAGACGGTTCCAAGACGGCCCCAAGTCGATCTTGGAGGGCCCCAAGAGAAGTCCCAGAGAGACCCAAAGGGTCCCAGAGGACCCGCCTGAAGCCCCAGGGTATGCCTCGGCGGGCCCTCGGAGCCGCCTCGGTAGCCTTCGGAGGGGCCCCGATGGCGCAGGCGACGGCGCAAGACTGCTAAGCATGGCCCCCAGACAGCCCAAGAGGCACCCATGACGCCCCAGGACCGCCCCAAGAGACTCCCAGGGAGCGCTTCCAGAAGCCGAGATTACTTTTTTTTGATGTTGCATGGTTTTTTCAACTTTTGGGGGGATGTTTTCACCTTTTCCGCCTTCAGGCGCCCAAGACGGTGTCAGGGGCCTCTTAGATCGTGCCAGGGCGGCCCCAGAGAGGCTCCCAAGAGCGCCCCACGATGGCCCAAGAAAGCCCCAAGAGAAGTCCCAGAGAGGCCCAAAGGGTCCTAGAGGACCCGCCTGAAGCCCCAGGGTAGGCCCAAGCAGGCCCCAAGAGGCCCCATAAGGGCGTTCAGATTGGCTTCAAGTGGATTCCAAGAGATCCCACAAGCAAATGGAGTGACGCCACTTGCTTGTGGATTCTATCTGGGCCCACTCGTGGCACTTGGGGCGCTCTCCGAGCGCTCCCGGAGGCCGCCTCAGTCCCGCCTGAAGCCGCAGGGTAGGCAGGAGCGGGCCCCACGAGACCACAAGGAGGCTTCCAAGACGGCTTGAAGTGCATTCCGAGAGAGCCCAAAAGCAAGTTGAGTGACGCCACTTCTTTTTGGGCCCTCTTAGGGGTGCACTTGGGGCCCTGTTGGAGCCTCCCAGGAGCTCGCCTGACTTCTGCTCGGAGCCCCAGGGTAGCTCCGAGAGGGCCCGAGAGGCTTCAAGGGGAGACCCCCAGAGATTTCCAACAGCCCTCCAAGCTGGCCCACAAGCAAGTGGTGTCACTCCACTTACTTTTGGATTCTCTCAGGGCCTACCTGGGGCCCTCTCGGAGCGTTCCCAGGCGCCGCCTAAGACCCGCCTGAAGCGCCAGAGTAGGCCCAAGCAGGCCCCAAGAGGCCCCAGGAGGGCTTGCGGAGCGGCTTCAAATGGATTCCAAGAAAGCCCACAAGCAAATGGAGTGACGCCACTTGCTAGTGGATTCTCGCTGGGCCCACTTGGGGCCCCTCGGAGCTCGTCCACGCGTCGCTTCAGTCGCGCCTGAAGCCGCAGGGTAGGCAGGAGCGGGCCCCACGAGACCACAAGGAGGCTTCCAAGACGACTTGAAGTGCATTCCGAGAGAGCCCAAGAGCAAGTGGAGTGACGGCACTTCTTTTTGGACCCCTTTGGGGTGCACTCGGGGCCTTGTTGGAGCTTCCCAGGAGCTCGCCTGACTTCTGCCCGAAGCCCCGGGTTAGTCCTTGAGTTCATCGTCCGCATTCGACGATACATGCGACCGGACAGACAATCCCACAGAATGTTGGATGCGGCCGACGTCATTGTCGTTCGTCCACACTCGATGAGTAGTGCGACTAGAAGCTCTGCTTTCTTCCTGTGTCGCAGGCACGACCTACAACTTCCAGGACGGCTTCTGAGGACCTTAAGGGTCCAAGATGGCTTGAGACGTCCCCAGACGGTCCAAGAGGTCGCCAATATGGCTTCCAGACGGCCCCATAGTGCGGGAAGGCGGCTCAAGACGGCCTCAAGAGAGGTCCCCGAGGAGGGCCCCGAGAGGCCAAAATCATTGATTTCCTTGAGGTTTTCTTGAAGGGGTTCAGCGACCTCGCCTTTTCGGGGTCTCCTCGCTCCAAGCCGGCCCCATGGCCCCCAAGATCGCACCAAGATGGCTCAAGAGGCCCCCAAGCGAACTCCCACACAGCCCAAGAGGGCCCCAAGACGGCCCAAGAGGACCCCAAGACGGCCCAGGAACGCCCCACGAGGGCCTTACGAGGGGGAACTCGAACTGCCATGTCGCGCCCACCGCTCCAGGATGATCTCAAAAACCGCCAGCTGACCCCCAAGAGCTGACCCCCAAGAGGCCCCCCAGACGCCCCAGGAGGCGTTCCAAGAGGCCCAAATCAGGTCCCAAGAGACCCTCGAGAGGCCATAAGACACGCCCAGAACCGCTCCAAGAGGCTTCCGAGGGAAGGTTTCTCAGAGATCTCTGGGATCGCGCTGGCCACCCAGGAAAATGAAGCGCCCATGCGCCTCTTATTGCTCTCCCCTCCTTTGCAAAGGCTCCTGTCTGAATGGGCGACTCGTCCGGGGGTTCTTTCTCAGAGTGCGTCAGATAGGCCGGCCATTGGGGGCATTCTCTGCAATGCCTTCGACATTCTTCCCAGTTCGTGCAGCCCGCGCGCATCCTCCGACCTCCTCGGGCGGCCACAGCCAGCATGGAACATCGTTAGAAAAGAAGGCCCACTGTTGCTTGTGAATTTCCAGCCTTGGTCCAAACACAGCCTCACGGCTGTAGATCATCCGGGGGCGGCCCAAAACGCCTCCATTACGGCAACACCACGCAGCACGAAGCATGCAGCAATAGCGTCAGCACACGGCAACGGCAAACAGCAGCAGCAGGCAGCGGTCAGCAGCACGCTCCAATCAGGCGTGGCCATCAGCAGCACCTTTCAGCCGCAGGCAACAACGAAAACACACAATCGGCAAACAGGACCAACACGCAACAGCGGCAGCAAGCAGCAGCACGCAAAGGCATGCGCCGAGTACGAGGGTCGAGTCCCACGCTGTAACGACACCCCCAGGGGCTCCCACACACCTCCGGGAGGCCGCACCACGCTTCACGGCGGCTCCCAAGGCGGGGGCAGCGGACGACAGGCGAGAGGAAGAGGTGTAGGAGGAGGAGGGGGAGGAGGAGGAAGGAGGAGGAGGAGGGAGGAGTAGGAGGGAGGAGAGAGGAGGAGGAGGAGGAGGAGGAGGAGGAGGAGAGGAGGAGGAGGAGGAGGAGGAGGAGGAGGAGGAGGAGGAGGAGGAGGAGGAGGAGGAGGAGGAGAGGAGGAGGAGGAGGAGGAGGAGGAGGAGGAGGAGGAGGAGGAGGAGGAGGAGGAGGAGGAGGAGGAGGAGGAGGAGGAGGAGGAGGAGGAGGAGGAGGAGGAGGAGAGGAGGAGGAGGAGGAGGAGGAGAGGAGGAGGAGGAGGAGGAGGAGGGAGGAGGAGGAGGAGGAGGAGGAGAGGAGGAGAGGAGAGGAGAGGAGGAGAGAAGGAGGAGGAGGAGGAGGAGGAGGAGGAGGAGGAGGAGGAGGAGGAGGAGGAGGAAGAGGTGTAGGAGGAGGAGGGGGAGGAGAAGGAGCTGCTGCTGCTGCTGCTGCTGCTGCTGCTGCTGCTGCCCATGCCCCTGGATCGTCTGCCGCTGACACTGCCAGCGCTGTTCTGGGCGACGTCAGAATCATCAAGCAAAGAGCGCACTCTGAAGCAATGGGCAGAAGCAAGGGCACTCTGACCACAGGCATTCTTGGACGTTAGTCTACGGGTCAGCCCTAGCTACAGCGCTGGGATCAGCGCATGCGGGAACGGTGACCCAACACCAGCAGCACCCTTCAGCTACAAGCAGTGGCAGCACGCAGCACCGGCAAGTAAGCATTGCGAACAGCACGCAGCAGCGGCTGCAAGCAGCAGCACGCAGTTGTCTTGCGCGGAATGCGAAGTTCGAGCCCCACGCCATCATGTAAGCCTTTCGGCAGCACGTCCATCAGCATTTGCCAGTTCGGGGCAGATTTCATGGACGTAGTCCACTCGTCAGCCCCAGTCAGCTACAGCGCTGGGATCAGCGCGTGCGAGAAGGGTGAGCAGTGGCAGCGGGCTCTGGCGCTGCTCAGCGAGATGTGGGAGACGAAGCTGGAACCCAACGTCATCAGCTACAACGCTGTGATCAGCGCGTGCGAGAAGGGCGAGCAATGGCAGCGGGCGCTGGCGCTTCTCAGCGAGATGTGGGAGGCGAAGCTGGAGCCCGACGTCATCTTACCTACACATCAGGGGCATTTGCGTGCGAGAAGGCCTGGGCCCAAATATCATCATCTGCAGGACCCCCCTGGCCGTCCTGAGAGCCTCAGGAGTGCCCGAAGACGGCCTCAGTCTGCCCCAAGACGGCCCTGGGACGCTCAGGAGGGCGCCAAGACGACCCGATAGGGCTCCAACACTGTCCAATATGGCCTCGAGACGGCCGAAGAAGCCCCCAAGGCGCCCCAAGAGCGCGCCCAGAGGGCTTCTGATAGAGCCTCAAGACGTAAGAATCGACGATCTTCCCAGGGTTGTTGATGTATTTTAGGTTGATCGCCTTTTCGGGATCCCGAACGCCCAAGACGGCGACATGGGCCTTCCACAATGGTCTGAGACGGCCCCAGAGGCCCCAAAGAGGGCCCCAAGACGGTTCAAGAGTACAAAAGGACGGCCCAAGAGAGCGCCAAGACGGGCTCAGAGAGCCCCAAAGAAGGCTCTCAGAGGTCGCCGTCAGGGCCCCAAGACGGCTCCAACGAGGCTCCAAGAGGGGCCTAGAGGGGTCCGAGACCCACAGCATGCCCCTGAGGGCTCCCAGGAGGCTCCCACGAGGTCCAAATCTGGGCCAAGAGAGCCCCAGGGGAACCCGGACGGAGAGAGCCCCAATACTCAACATTTAATGATGTCTTGTCGGTGTTCGACGAATTTTAGCTTGCTCGCTTTTTTGAATTCTCGACTACTCCAGACCGCCTCATGAGCCTTCCACATCGGCCCCAGACGGCCCAGGAGGCCCTGAAGGTGCCCCATGACGTCTCAAGAGGACCCCAAGACCGCCCAAGAGGGCGCCAATGCCTCCTGGTCCCTGTGGGCTCTGGGCCGCGAAGACCTCGCAGAGACAGCCTTCGATAATGTCCGAGATGGCCAGAATTGGCCACGACAGCCGCCAGACAAGGCCCCGAGAGATCTCAAGCCGTTCCAAGAAGCCTCCAAAAGGCCCCAAGACGCCCAAAGAGGCGTCCAGAAGACCACGCCCCAAGAATATTTGAAAAGGCTTCGGAGAGCTTCCAGACGGCCCGACACGCCCTCCAGAGAGCGCCACGGCGGCCCAACAGACCCCCAGAGAACCTCGAGACGGCCCCAAGTGGGCCCAATGAGGCCCCCAATAGTTAGGACCCCCCACCACGGCCTCAATATCCGGCAGCAGACAAACCAGCAGCGGCAGCAACTAGTAGCTAGCAGCAGAAAACAAGCAGCCGCTGCATTGCCCGCGGCCGGCTGGCGGCCATCCCCGCTGCCGTGGCGTGCGGCAGAGAGTCAGTTGCGACCGCCAGGCCTGCCAGCATGCTGGCAGTGACGTCGGGAAGACAACTGTCTGGCTACCAGCTATGCGCGCCAAACATCAGGCAAGCAGGCAAGCGATCTCAGCTTCTGCACGCGGGCAAGCTGTCGTGGACGTACGTCCACGAGACAGCTCTAGTCAGCTACAACGCTGCGATCAGCGCGTGCCAGAAAGGCAAACAGTGGCAGTGGCAGAGGGCTCTGTCTCTGCTAAGAGACATCCGCCAGATGAAACCGCACCCAGACTTGTTCGTCTATGGTATTGTAGCCAGCATGTGCGAGCATGGCGGACAACGCAATCTGGTGCAGTCGTTGACGAGGGAGATGTGCGGTGTGATCGCAGCGGAATAGCGGAATCCGTATCATAATGCCAGGCCCGTGTGCATGTAAAGATGTCGTGAGCGAAGGCAGCGAACTTCGCGTTCCCGTGGAGCAGCACCTCCGCGATGGTCTAGGCTGATCCACTCGCGGGCTCCCCCTGACAGCCCCAGTAGGTCCCTCACAGGCTACAGAGCTCAGCACGGTCCCCAAGGGCCGCCATCATGTTAAAGGCCTTTTAGATTTTTCCTGGGGGGCCCAAACAGTCCCCTCACGTCTCCGCAAGGCAAGAACACATTAGGTGTTCTTCCGAAGCAATGCTTGCACGAAGGGTTGACAGGAGTGATCATCAATAGCTGCGAGTTCTTGTTCTTCCCATGGTGCTGTATGGTGGTGCTCTCTATAGCAGGAACGTTCAGGTTTGGTTCGAGCCTGGCTAACAAGAACAGCCAGCCAGGCACGGCTCTGGAGACATACTGTCTATGGTTGGCGCCCCGTGCTGCTCTAGTCTCTCCTACATGGCCGGTGGAAGCGCGTGCGAGAAGCCCAGGGCCTCAAGTGCACAAAATCGCCCTTTACGGCGCCACCGCGGGGCCGAATCGCTCAGGCCGGTCCCAGAGGCGCTCCAGAGGGGTTCCCAGACCGTCCAAGAGCGCTCCAAGACGGCCTCAGTGGGGCCCCAAACGGCCCACGGGGGCCCGAAGCCTTCCGGGGGGGGGGGCTCCACGACGATCCAAGAGGCCGCAAAGACGCCCCAAGAGGGCCCCGAGCGCACGCCAAAGAGGCAGAAATCGTCAAATTTCAATAAAATGTGCATTTTCAGCATTCCCGCCTTGTGTGCTCCTCAGCGGCCCAGGACACGCCAAGAGACCTCCCAAATCGCCCCAAGAAGACGCCAGCGTCCCCTAAGGGCTCCAAGACGGCCCACAAGAGCCCCAAGACGACGCCAGAGAGCCCTGAAACGGCCTCACAGAATCCCAAGACGGCCCCAAGGAAGCTCCGAGGGGGCCCCAAGAGGCTCCCAAGACGGCCTCAGGCAGCCTCAAGAGAGCTCCTAGACGGTCCAAGGCCTCCTGGACGCCCCGTGACGGCCCAAAATGGCCCCAAGACGTCCCAAAACGCTCCCAGAGCAGCCCAAAAAAGCATCAGAATGGTCCGAAAAAGACCCCCAGAAGGACCACCAAGCAGGCCCAGAGACGCCCATTATAAGAGCGATCGGTGAAGTACAAAGCTCTTCTCACCAAGGCTCCCAAGAGCGAGCCGCAGCGTAGAGAGCTCTCCCAGGAACAGCTCCCAAGAGCGAGCGGTGACGTGACCAGCCCTTCACACAGGGGTTCTCAAAAGCGAAGGGCGCCATGAGCCATCTCGGGCCGATTCCTGAATCGCCCCTTTCGTTTCCGTGCCCGCGCAGGTCTCGAGAAGCTCGTGGACGAAGTCCACGGGTTCGCCCTAGTCAGCTACAACGCTGGGATCAGCGCGTGCGAGAAGAGCGGGCAGTGGCAGCCGGCGCTGGCGCTGCTCAGCGAGATGCGGAAGGCAAAAGTGGAGCCCGACGCCATCAGTACTGCATCGCGCGGCCTTGTGCGTATTAGAAGGGTTGGGGCCTGATTGGGCTCCGCGGCTTCAAAGGCGTCCCGAGAGCCCCAAGATGGCCCCAGTAGACCCAAAAGTTTCTCCACAGTGGCGAAGTTGGCTGCAAGAGTGGCCCGATAGCGGCCCAGGAGGCCCACAAAGCAGACCGAGAGGCGTCCAACATTCCCCGAGAGGTTACTTGGAGAACGCCGGCGACGACTCGAAGTGGCAAAAATGGCTGATCTTCTTCTGGTTGTGCACACAAGGTTTTCGCCTCCTGGAGTAGCCCTGAGGGCCCCGCGAGAACCCAGGGCGCTCCGTTGACGCCGTCGGAGGGCCTCCCGCGGCCCGAGGAAGCTCCCGGATGCCCCAAGATGACTTCCAAGGTCGTGGAATCCCATTGTTCTTCGCATATGCCTAACACTCTCCACATCTTGGTTCCAGGTGGACTCGCGAGAGGGCCCCAGGCATTCGCGAGAGGGCCGAGGAGGCCCACAAGAGCCCCCGTGGAGAGCCCACAGCGCACCCCAGATGAGCCCAAGCGGGGCCCGGCCAGCCTCTGAGATGGTCCCAAGGGCGGCCGCAAGACGACCCCGGACCGCCCCGGCGTGGCCCCCCGGGCCCTCCCCTCCGAGCGCCCCCTGGCCCCCCCCACAAGAGCGCGCAGGGCCCCAAGGGACTCCTCCTCCTCCTCCTCCTCCTCCTCTTCCTCCTCCTCCTCCTCCGCCTCCTCCAAGCGAGCCCAAGAAGGTCAAGATAAGGTCCTAAAGAAAACCCTGAGACGACCCCAACGGGGCCCCTCGACCGTCCCAACATGGCGGCCCTCAGGGGGTCCGACAACCTGCAGGCCCAAAGTGTGCTGCAGGACAGCTCAGGCGCTGAGACACGCGACCCGAGACCATTGGGAGCCTCTCGAGCCTGTCGCTCCTGCCTCCTCGGCCGTCTATCCGCCCGTCTCGCTCATAGCTCCTCGCTGGCCGCGCCTCGCTTCTCCTGCATCCTTGCTCCCCGCTCCCCGGCGTTCACACGAAAAGCAGGCTGTTTCGGCTAGCACGAGTAGCGAGCAGCAACACCCTGCGACGCCACGCAGCAACACCGAACAGAAGCAGCGAGTAGCACGAGACACGCAAGCATCAGCAGCGGCAGCACACGGCAACAGCAAGCAACACAGGCACTCCGCAGCATCTTGTGGCAGCAGCAAGCAGTAGCGGCCAGCATCGTTACCAGTGTCACGCGACAGCGGCAGCAAGCAGGTACACAACGCATCAGGCACGCAACATCACCCAGCCCAACGCAGCAGCGCCAAGCCGCATCAAGCAACATCACGCAACGCAGCGGCCAACACCATCCCGCACTGGCGAGAAAGGGCTGCATGTAACAGCATGCATGGACATTGCGGCCGGCAGCACCAAGCATCAGCAAATGGCAAGAAGCGGCAAGGAGCTGCCGGGCAGACGTTGAAGCACGCAAAGCAGAAATGAGACGACTTGGCCAAACATTGCCAGATCACGAAGCGAGCAACCACGCAGCCAGGACAGCAGTCGAGCAGACACGCGTGTAAGCGATCCTAAACTCTGAATGCGTTTCCGCTGGTCGTGGACAATTGTCCACGGAGCTCCCCCAGCGGCTCCCCCAGGCTCTCCAGAGTTCTTCCGAGCCTTTCCCTCGTCGTCCCTCTCTCCTCGCCCCTTGTTTCTCACAGTCCTCGCTCCTCGAATCTCTCTCCGGGTCCATCGCTCCTTACTCCTGGTTGTAAGCCGGGTCCTTCCCCCCCCTCATTGCATCTTCCTCCTGTCAGTCCCCACCTTCCGACGAGGGCCTCAAGAGCGCTCCAGAGAGTCCGCGACGGTTTGTTCCTTCTTGCTCGCTCCTCTTCGCTCCCCCTCGCTCTTCCCTGCGCATTTGTTGAGACTCGTGCCTGACGCCCTATGAGCGACTCTCGGCGGCATGTCCGCCATCACATCACATGCCGATGCCAGTTCGGACAGACCTTGTTTACCTTAGTCCACAGGTCAGCCCTGTGCGTCTCAGAAGGATCGGGGGCCGATCAGGGTTTGGAGCCCAGCCCCCCCCCCCCCCCCCGCGGCTCCCCGAGGCTCCCCGGTGCACTCCCAGGCCCTTCGCTCCTCCCCCCCCCTCTCTTCTCGCTCCCTGCTTCTCTCGCTGCTCGTTTCTCTCTCTCCTGGCCCGTCGCTCCTCACTCCTGGCTACTCTTATGATGTTCCAGCCTACTGTAGCCTTGATCACCAGACAGAATTTCGAGCACCAGAACAGTGCTCGACAACTCAAGGGTTTTCACGTGTCGGGCCCTGGGAGACACTCGTGCGACACTGCTTCGACACTCTTTCGGCACCCTTTCGACACTTTTCAGGGGGCTCGCAATTATTTCTGGGATGCGGTCCTTAAGTACGACGGGAGGAGGAGGAGGAGGAGGAGGAGGAGGAGGAGGAGGAGGAGGAGGAGGAGGAGGAGGGAGGAGGGAGGAGGAGGAGGAGGAGGATGAGGAGGAGGAGGGAGGAGGGAGGAGGGAGGAGGGAGGAGGAGGAGGAGGAGGAGGAGGAGGAGCTCAGTTCTCCTCCCTCCTCGCAGCTCCTTCCTGCGAGCCCACACGCGGCTCCACGCGGTCCTCGACGGCTACTTGCTCGCTCCTCCTTTCCCGCTCGGGCCTCGGGGCCGACGTCGATGCAAACGACTATCAGCAACGATTCCGCCATCACATCACATGCTAGTTTTAAGTCGGGCCTGTCCCTCTACAGGGGGAATCGTAAAACATTAGTCTGGGGACTATTTGTTGAGTATTGTTGGGTATCGTTTCAGTATGTTTGAGTATGTTTTAGTTGTCGTCCAAAATCCCCCTGTAGGGGGACAGGCCCGACCTAATGCCAGTTGGGACAGATTTCGTGGACGGTCGTCCACGGGACAGCCCTAGTCAGCTACAACGCTGGGATCAGCGCGGGCGAGAAAGGCAAGCAGTGGCAACGGGCTCTGTCGCTGCTCAGCGAGATGCGGGTGGCGAAAGTGGTGCCCGATGTCATCAGCTACAGCGCTGCGACCAGCGCGTGTGGAAAAGGTGGAGAGTGGCAGCAGGCCCTGTCGCTGATCAGCCAGATGCGACTGGCGACTGTCAAGCCCGACGGCTTCACTTACAGCGCTGGGATCAGCGCGTGCGAGACGGGCGAGCAGTGGCAGCGGGCTCTGGCGCTGATCAGAGAGATGCGGGAGACGAAATTGGAGCCCGACGCCAACACCTACAGCGCTGGGATCAGCGCGTGCGAGAAGGCCAGTTGTGCCAATGGTCTTGCCGTCGGTGGGGTCTTTCTCCTGCCTGGGCCAGGCTGGGGGCGCTCCTGAGAGACGCGGCCTCTGCCTCCAGCGCAGCATGAGCGCTCTCTGCGAGCCCTCCGTATCTCTCCAACAAGCGTGGGAACCCTTCTTTGGGGCATTTTGGTGTATTTTGGGGGTAATTTGGGGTAACTTGGGGTATTTTGGGGCATCCCCTCCGTATTTCACACCTTCTAATTGGAGTGCCACGCGGGGGTCGGCTCGTGCCAGCACGGCGTGCAGAGCAGTGGCAGCGGGCCCGGTCGCTGCTCAGTGAGCTGCGGGACACGAAGGTGGAGGCCATGATCATCACTGTCGGGGTCAGCTGCAGCGCTGGGACCCGCGCGTGCGAGACGGTACCGTTGATCAGTGGAGACATGCCCTGCAGCCAGGTGCTACAGCACCGCAGCGCCACGTCGACTCGATGACGGCGGGTACTGGTTTCCAGGGGCCGCTCCCGCGGGCGCGGGGCCGAGAGGCCTGCTGGCCGTGTGCGTGTTCCTTCCGCCTCCCGTCCCTTGCGCCTTGCGGGCGAAGGGGTCGCTCCCGCGCAGCCCGCGCAGTGCCGCGCACGACACGCGACACAGCGCTCGGAGCTCTACCCGACCTCGCAGACGTCCGAAGGTCTCGGGAAGCCTCAGACGGAGGAAAGCATCCGACAAAAGCCTCAGGACCCCGAGAGCGCCCCCGCCAGAAAGGAAAGAGAGGGTCCTGTCCCTCCCCCTCCACTCCCCCCTCTCCTCCGCTTCCGGCACGGGTTGGCCAGATCCTGGAGCCTTGGCTGTTTCACTTCGTCGGCCCGGGCCAGCTCGACAGCGACTTCCCGCCGTGCAGGTGTGGGAGGCTCGGGGAGAGGGCTGTCGGTTGTCGGCCTTCGGGGGTTTCTGCCTGGCCCAGGGACCGCGGCAAGACGAGCCAGGATGAAAACCAGGTCCCTGGGAAGGGGTCCAGAGCCTTGGGGAGCCACACTGCGAAAGAGACAACGTCGGGTGTCTGGGTCCTGCTGATGTTGCTCCTCCCCCCCCTTCGCTAATCAGGAAGAGCGCGTTCTGTGGTCAGTTGGAGGGGTGGTGGATTGGAACCGGACCCCTCCCACCCCCCTCCCTGGATAAGGGGGGGGGGGTTCGAGCCCCCCCCCTTCCGTGACGGACCCCCCCCCCTCCCCTCCCCCTCCTCCCCTACTTCTCCAATCTTCCTCTCCTCGGGCCGGCGCCTGCGTCGGCGGCGGCTGGCGGCGGCGGCGGGGACGACGACTTCTTTTTCTGGGCCGGCGCCGGCGCCTGCGGCGGCGTTCGGGAGCGTCTACGAGGACGACGGCGACGACGACGACGATGACGCTCCGCCACCGTGCCTTGGTTTTGGGTCAGAGTCCAAATGGATGCCTCTTGGAGTCTCGTCGGAGGGCTCTCGGGGGCCTCCGAAGGGCATTTGTGCAGCCTCCTGGGCACCTCTTGGGCGTCTCTTGGGGCCTCTCTGAGGTGGTGGTGGTGGTGGTGGTGGTGGTGGTGGTGGTGGTGGTGGTGGTGGTGGTTGTGCTGGTGGTGGTGGTTGTGGCGATGGTGGTGGTAGTGGTTGTGGTGGCGGTGGTGGCGGTGGTGGTGTGTTTTTTGTTGTTGTTGGTGGTGGTGGTGGTTGTTGTGGTGGTGGTTGTGGTGGCAGGTTGTGGTGCTGGTGGTGATGGTGGTGGCGGTGGTGGTGGTGGTGCGGTGATTTCTGGTGGTGGTAGTAGTAGTGGTTGTGGCGGTGGTGGGGTAAGGTGGTGGTGGCGATGGCGGTGGTGGTGCGGTGGTTTGTGGCGGTGGTAGTGGTGGTGGTAGTGGTGGTGGTAGTCGTGGTGGGTTGCGGTGGTGGTGGTGGTGGTGGCGGTGGTGGGGTTGTGGTGGTGGTGGTTTGTTGCGGTGGTGGTGGTGGTGGTTGTGGTGGTGGTTGGTGGTGGTGGTGGTGGTGCGGTGGTTTCTGGTGGTGGTGGTTGTGGTGGGTTGTGGTGGTGGTGGTGGCGGTGGTGGTGGTAGTGGTGGTGGTAGTCGTGGTGGGTTGCGGTGGTGGTGGTGGTTGTGGTGGTGGCGGTGGTGGTGGTTGTGGTGGTGGTGGTTTGTTGCGGTGGTGGTGGTGGTGGTTGTGGTGGTGGTTGTCGGTGGTGGTGGTGGTGGTGCGGTGGTTTCTGGTGGTGGTGGTTGTGGTGGGTTGTGGTAGTGGTGGTGGCGGTGGTGGTGGTTGTGGTGGTGGTGGTGTGGTGGTTTGTTGTGGTGGTGGTGGTTGTGGTGGTGGGTGGTGGTGGTGGTGTTGGTGGTGGTGGTGGTTTGGTGGTCGTGTGGTGGTGGTTTGTGGTGGTGGTGATGGTGCTTTGGTGGTGGTGGTGGGTTGTGATGGTGGTGGTGGTGGTGGGTTGCAGTGGTGGCAGTGGTTTGTGGAGGTGGTGCTGGTGGTGGTGGTGGTGGTGTGGTGGTTTGTGGTGGTGGTGGTGGGTTGTGATGCTGGTAGTGGTGGTGATTGTGGCGGTGGTGGTGGTGGTGTGGTAGATTGTGGTGGTGGTGGTAGTGGTGGTGGTAGTGGTGGTGGGTTTTTGTGGTGGGTTGGTGGTGGTGAGTTGTGGTGGTGGTGGTGGTTGTGGTGATGGTGGTGGCTGTGGTGGTGGTGGTGATGGTGGTTGTGTGGTGGGTTGTTGTTGGTGGTGGTGGTGGGTTGAGGTCTGGTGGTGGTGGTAGTGGTGGTGGTGGTAGTGGTGGTAATCGTCGCTGCGCTCCCGCCGTCGGCGCTGGTGGCCGCCGCCAGCGCCGGCGCCGGCGCCGGCACGGGGGGGGGGGAGGGGGTTCGGAACTCCCCCCCCCACCCCCCTTGTGCTGCCTCCGGTCATCGTCGCTGCGTCTCCGCCGTCAACGCTGCTGGCGGCCGCCAGCGCTGGCGCCGGCGCCGAGGGGGGGGTTTGAACCCTCCCCCCCCTCGGGAGGCGGGGGGGGGTTCGAGAGGGGGGGGTGTTAGTGGAAGAGAGTCCCCCTGGTTCTGATGGACGGCGCCGAGTGTTGGGGGTTGGGGCCCACCCCCCGGTTCAAAATGCGCCGCCGAATGTTCCCAAGGCAAGCGCCCATGAAACGCGCTCTCTCGGTAATCAAGGCCTCTGGACGGCGTGGGCAATTTTGGCTGGGCCTCCAGAGCCTTCCCCGGTCATCCTGACTGGAGACCTGGAGACCTCTGGGGACCAGCGTCACGAAGCAAACACTCGCGACGGCTGTTTCAGCTCCCTCTGGATGCCTACTGCGGGCCGCGCCAGAGCGATCAAACAGCGACCTTGGACGAGACACCGTCGAGAGGCTTAGGGGATTCGCGGCACGGAAGAAAAAAGGACGTCGGATGCCAAGGTCTGTCTCCTCCCACACCCGTGGTCAGCTCTCGACGCTCTGCCTCCCAAACTCGTGATCAGTTGTGAAACCGTTATCCCATTCAGCTTCAAACATTGGGTTGGAACTGCGCAAGCTCAGGGAGTACGACGGCGGCCGCATTCGCAACAACCGGTCGTGATGGCACGAAGGCCGCAGAAGGACGAGGAGCTCTTCGAGGATACCCGGGCACCTTTGCCTCTCGGCCCGTCCTGGCCTTGAGCCATAGGCCATGGGCTTCCAACTTTCGCTCCATTTTGGGCGCTCCTTACCGCGCACCCTTGTGATCCGGTCTACCGGTCTGCCCAGGAATGACGTCCCGCGGATGTTGTGGCCTTATCCGCGAGGGCCTCAGCATGGCCTCAACGTGTACCCCGAGTCCTTGAGAACTATGCGGGGATGGCGTGTGGGGGATGCCGAGGCCTTCGCCGCGAGGGCCCCAGCGCGGCCTCAACAGATGCCCCCACATCCTTGGAAGGCAGTGCGGGAGTCGCCTCTGGGGGGTGTTGAGGCCCCTACCCGCGAGGGTCTCGACATTGTTCCAGCGTGGGCGAGAGATCCTGCCGGACAATGAGGGGTGCACAAGGAGCCGATTGTTAAGATTCGCTGCGCAAGCAGGTCGCGGCCGAGCTCGGGGATCGACCGCCGAGAGCGGCTCGAAAAGAAAAAGGGGGAAAGCTCTGGGGAGGGTCTCGACCGTCGGCCACACGCACGGGGAAGGCGCACGACTCCGCAGGGCGAGTGGCAGACGCGGCGGTCAAGCATTGCGCGATGCGGGGTGCCCGGGGGCTAAGGCCTCCTCGTGGCCTGACGTGGGCCAGAAGGCCCTTTGTGGTAGGGCGTCGGGGCCTTGACTTGCGGGCCCCGACGCGCTGCTCCGCGCGGGCCAGCGTCCACATGGCAGCTTCATGTCGGGCCTGCCCTCTGCAGGAGGAATATTCAAACATAGTGCTTAAAAATAGAATGGGGACGATTTGTTTGACAATTTGCCACATATTTGAACAGTTTTGGGATAGTGTTCATTTCTCGTCCAAAACCGCCTGTAGGAGGACACGCCCGACCTGATGGCAGCTTGGAGCTGGAGCAGGGAAGCGGCTCCAGTCTGCAGTAAGGGAGCAGGGCCGCATCAAGGCTGCCCGTGCATCCTTGTCTCTTCGGCGTACCCTTATCAGTGGATGCTGGGGCGTTGGGCCCGGCGCCGCTCCGATTGTTCGATGGTCCTTCGAGGGTTTGCAACCATGACCCTTCCTCCCCCTCCGCCTCCTCCAGTTGTCACTAATTTGATTTAGTTATCCCAGTTGTTCCTTATCATCCCGAATTGATCCTGACCATCCTCGTGATGCCACCGCCTTCTACTTCGGCCTTACCTCCTCATCGTCCCCTTCCTGTTTGCCCTCCCCCTTCCTCTCCCCCTGCGCCTGTCTCATGCTGAGTGCTCCATCCCACGCCTCCGGCTTCCCCTCATGCTTCCCGTCCTCCGAATTATCCATTCTTCCTCTCCTCCTCCTCCTCCTCCTCCTCCTCCTCCTCCTCCTCCTCCTCCTCCTCCTCCTCCTCTCTCTCTCCTCCTCTCCTCGTCTCCCCCCCGCCTCATGACTTCCCTTTCTCCGTCCCCTCTTCCCCCCTTCTCCTGATTTCCCCCTCCTCCCCTCCTCC